AATACTATTCCATTCCATTTTCCATCAGTGAAAATTTATAAAATTATAAACTCTTCTTGTTACTTAGAGGAAAATGGCAGTATTTTAAAAGGGTCATATTAATTTAAAATTATTGGTTTTCATACTAGCATTTAAAATAGTTTGTGAGTGTTTAACTTAATATAAAATTTAATACAAATTTGAGAAATTGTCTTAGTTCACTTTAGTATTTCAGTTCAAGTAGTTTAAATATGTTCTTTTTTGGAACGCTCATTTGTATGAATAAGGTGATAACTTTAAAAAACACATTCTTTGCTAGTCAACCCTTTGACCTTGCCATCTTAATATTTATTCTATATACATTTTAATTTTTCGAAGGTAGGTTTAGACCAGAGTGCCAGATATGAAATGACCAATATTCAGGCCATCATCTTTAAAAGAACCAAAAATGGAAAAAGCACATCATATTTTCTGCTCAGGATTTCCATAAGTCCTTTCAAGTCAAGGCAGTACCTGAATATTTATTTAGATAGCTAGCAAATTATATTTGTCTAGAAATGAAATTATTGTAAATATAGTCTCAAATAGGACTAGATTGTCTTCAGCAAACTTCATTTTTTTTTTAATTAAAAAAACATTGATAGGGAAGATTCTTACATTTGCTTCTTTATAAGTAATTATTGCACATATATAACATATAGTAGATGCTTAATAAGCAATGGTTGAATGACTCACTCTCCCCCCCCAAAAAAAAAAAAGTATGCTGTTGTCTACTTTATGATACCCAGATCACTTGGGATTGGCTTTGGGATACTTGCCAAAATTTCAGTGTTATGTGTTTAAAAAAAATTTTTTTTAAGGTCATTCTAAAAGCCATAAATTTTTTTAAAGAAAAAAAATAGAATGAAGTTAAATTTCAAATGAGTTAACATAATGCTTATGCATATAAGAGTGGTATTAAAATTAGTCAGGAAAAACTATTTTCATAATGTTCTTCTGGGATCTGTTGCATTTGTTTTGTGGTTGTTTGTGGGGGGTGTTTTTTTTTTTTTACCATTATAAAAAGGTTTTCAGATGGCCCTGTTTCAACTCAGATTTCATCCAAGAAACATTTTAATTAGGGATAGACATTTTTTAAAGGTCACAGTGTTACTAAGGACTTGGGTGAAGGTTTCTTCTACTACCTTACCGTTAGCCTTGGAAACCACAATACCCTTGGTACCACATAGCCACAAATTGAAAACAAAATCGGAACAGTTACATAGAAAATTAACGTATTAATGTCTAGAAAAATTTTGGCTGTAGATCTACATACAGCTTAAAACTATTTTGGCAGTGAATAAGCCCATACTTATGGAGTGTGGCCAGGAACAACTTAATGCCCAAACCAGTCCCATCTTTTTTGTTTCTTTCCATTTTAAGTTCAGAATAAAGACGTCTTACCCTTTGCACCTCATATAGACATATGGGGTGGAAGGGAGGAGGAAACTAGGAAACAGATGTTCAGATCTGTGCTGTTTTTGAACATAGACAAGTCACCTTCGGTTTTTTAAGAGGACTTCCATGGCCGTAGGGAACTTTAAAATTTGAGGGAATAAGGAAATAAAACCTTAGCAGACATCAAAATATGATTTTGTGTCAAGATGAATTTGTTTTATTGACAGGTCTGAAAAGAAGTGTTAGATACTTTGTCATTGCTCTACATATTTCTAGAATAAAAACATGGCTAAAATGAAATACAGTCACAATTCACAGTGCAGGATACTCCACATCTCTCATATCCAGCTCCCCTTTCCTTCAGTCTGCCCTGGCTGTTCCCTAGGCCTGGAAAGCCCTTCAAACTTCCTTAGCTCAAATTCTACCTTCTGCAAGCCTTTCCCAGTCCAGTCTGCCTTGATTTGAGATTACCTTTCTATTTACACTGTGTATGTCTTGTATATGTGTTATTGTTTGCCTGTTGTCTCCCCCATTAGAATGGGAGCTGCTTGAGATCAGGGATCTCTTTTTCTCCCCCCCCCACCTTTGTATCCCCAGCACTTAGCACAATGCCTGGTTCCTTATCACATTGCCGGATCATACCATAGTAAGTGGTTAATAAATGCTTGTTGACTGTTGAAATAAACATGGACATCGAACAAAAATAATAGGTTTTAATCAGTTAAACATTATTAAAGGCTTACTGCTCATATAAAGCTTTCTCTTTCTGTGTACATCTGTGTGCATAGACATACCATTTTCTATGCCAACAGACTCCCAGAACTCTGTATCCAGCTCCAGTTTCTTCCCCTGAACTTCAGTGTCACATAACCAATTGCTGATTATGTTTCAGACTGAATGTCCTGGGGTCATCTTAAACTCAAATGTCCAAAATTTGAAGTCATTATGTTTCTCCCCTGACAAAAACTCTCTTTTCCAAACTTCCCTATTTCTATCGAAGACACCACCAACCCTCCAGTCTCCCAGTTTCATAAGCTCACTCCCCCTCACCCTCATATCCATCCGTTGTCAGATCTTGTCAGTTATTCCTCCACATCTGTCATATCCAGCTCCCCTTTCCTTCAGTCATTTGGCTACTACCTTAGTTCAGGCGTAATCACCTCTCACCTAGATTATTGCATCAGTCTCCTAATTAGGCTCTCAGCTTCAAATCTCTTACCACTCCAGTCCATCTGGCATAATGCTGCCAAATTATTTTAGTTAAACATAGATCTGACCTTGTGACTCCTCTACTCAGCTCAGCACCAGTGGCTTCCTATTGGCTCTAGAATAAAACATAAATTCCTATGTTTAAAGACTTTTAAAGTCCTACATCACTTACCCCAGTCTGATTTCTCCAGTCTTTTGGGATGTTGCTTCCACCTCCCACACTCCAAAATAGAGCCAAACTGGACTTCTTTCTGTTTCTTCCACAGGGCTAGTTTCCCTTTTTGTGCCTTTGCGCTGACTGTCCCATGTGTTTGGAATGTGCTCCCTCCTTACTACCACCTCATAAATTCCTTCTCCTTTAACAAGAAACTCAAGCAGCATCTTCTGCATGAAGACTTTCCACTTCCCCCCAACTGCTAGTGCCCTCCCTTCAAAATTACCTTATATTTAACTACTTTGTGTGTATTTTGTATATTTATGCTGTGTCTACTTTTATGTGTTTTGTCATTTCTGCCGTTACAGTGTGATCTCTTTGTGCATAAGATTGTTTCATTTGTACTTGTGTCCCTAGTGCTAACTTAGCACAGTGCCTGGCACACGGCCGGTACTTAATAAATGTGTACAGTATACTATTTCATCACCAGTTGTAACAGCAGGTACGATATGTAGACTTGTTTTGAACCTGTTTGGACAATCATCTCCAATGTGGGTAAGCTGAAATCCATGGTTGTCCTATCTGTGCCTGAATAGTTTGTATCTTTTGTTTGTAGAGCACCCATATAAAAAGCACAGGATTCTTCAAAAAAAACCTGTAGCTGATAGGAACTGCATATTAATTTCATTGGATGAAAACTCTGTATTAGCAGGTGAGTTTGGCCTTTTTGTTTTTATAATGTCCAAGTGCTGGCATTTTTAATATTTTCAGATACCTGTCAAAATTTAATGAATCTGTTATTAAATTTATCATTCACCTGGCATTGTGCTAAATTCTAGGTACAAAAACCAAAATATTCCCACCTCTCCAGGTACTGAAATTGTTGTTAAGTGGAGTTTCGGGTTCAGTAATCCCAGAGAATATTTGTATGCCCCTGATGTTGTTTGATCATTAAGTAGTTTTACAAGCTACTAAAAAAATAGGTGATTATAAAGCAGATTCAGCTATTTAATTTAAATATTGAGGTTACTTAAGGCAGAGATGTCAAATGGGCTCCCCAGCTGGCCCAAACTAGATTAAAATGAAATCTGGAAATATGTGACCAGATGAACAAAACACAAGTAATGTTAACCTGTGGCTTTCCAAGCCAAGATGCTGCCCAGCTGGCAGGGATCCTTATGGAAGGCATTGTGAGGCCCCTTTCTATCTGAATTTGAGGGCAGTGCTTTAAAGGCTCCATAGACAGCAGTGTCCTTAAAGGTATGCAACGTAAAAGAACTTCTTCGGAGCTCAGCTCATAAATTTCAGGCTTTGGCAATTTAATAAAAAGCTCTAGTAGGTAAAATTAAAAAACAAAATGGAATGTGTTCATCGAAAAGGAAAGATGTCATGGAAGTACAGTACAGTGTTGGGAGAGGGTGGTGGGGAGAAGAGGGATCCTCCTCCCCCTCTTATCCATCGGTCGAACCAGCACTGAGCTGTCCGTGCTGACCAGCACCCCACAAAGGGCCCGAGAACCTGACCTCGATGCTGGGGGCGACCCAGCCCCTACATCTTAGAGCGGGGAAGGACCTGAGGGCAGGTCCTTGGCCTTGCGGACACAGCTGGTGTCCAGGGCAGGACTGGAACCATCCCCTGACCGCCGGGAGCTTACAATCTAGCGGGGGGAGTATGGAATCTTGTTCGGGGGCCCGACTCTTGCGCCTTTGGGGGAGCGGACCGCGGCCTTGGGCCGGTACCGACCCAGGCTGGGGCTCGATCCTAGAGGCGATGGGGGGGGAAGGAGGAGTCTCCCAGCCAGGGTCTCAGTCACCCCGGTCTGACTGATGGGGAAACCGAGGCAGGCAAGGCTTCCTGCCTGCAGGCCCGGCGCTGCGAGCAGTGGGGAGGGAGCCCTGTTGGGTTGGGAGGCCTCGGCCCTGCTCGGCCCTGGGCCCTTTCCCCAGTGACGTTACGGGATGACGACACCGCCGGTCCCGCTGACGCGGCACGCACGCCAGGCGCGCATGCGCTGGCGCGGAGCATTGTGGGACGCCGCGGCCCAGTCTGAGCGAAAGGGGGCGGCCGTTTGTTCTGTGCGTGCCTGGGCCTGCGCGCGGTCCACGGCCGTGCCCCCGCTCTCAGCGTCCGCTCGGGCCCGCCCGCCCCTCGCTCGCTCTCCTCTTCCCCTTGCTCTTCCTCCTCCTCCTCTTTCACTTCCTCCCCCTCCCCCCCGGGCGCGGCGGCGGCGGCGGCGGCGGCGGCGGAGGACCCGGCTTCCCTTTCCCTCCCCTCCCTCCTCTCACTGTTTGTTGTGTGTTTGATGTGTTAAAGCAGGAGCGAGCGAGGCCCGAGAGCGCCATGAGCACGCCCACCGTCGTCCCCAGCGCCGCGGGCCCGGGCCCGGGCCCGAGCGGCAGCGGAGGCCCGGGCGGTGGCGGCGGCGTGCCCGGGGGCGGCAGCGGCGGCGGCACCGAGGTCATCCAGGTGACGAACGTGTCCCCGAGCGCCAGCTCGGAGCAGATGCGGACCCTCTTCGGCTTCCTGGGCAAGATCGACGAGCTGCGCCTCTTCCCGCCCGAGTGAGTAGCCGTTGGGGGGGGGGGCTCGGTGCTGGAGGGGCCGATGTGGCCGCCGGGGGGGGGCGGTGCGGGCCCCTGTGCCTTCCTGCGCCCTCCCGGCGTGAGGAGTGCTGAAGACGCTCGGGGAAGGGCGAAAGCGCGATCGGAGATTGTGTTGAGAAAGAAGTCCTGAGAGAGGGCTTCAGTTAGGCTGGAAACTAAACGGGGGACTCCCCGGGGCCGGGAGAGCGGGTTCTTTACCTCTGACAATCCAACACCTGCCGGGTCGAGGCTAAACACTGAACTGATAACGTCTTCAGTGCGTTTGAGGGAAAGCTGGGCCCTTTTTATTCTCCTGGACTTACTTACATTTCAGCCGGATGCTGCAGTCGTCACCTATTTCCTGGTTACTTCGCTGTATCCAGTGATGTCTCCATTTCAGCTCTGACCGTGTTTCTCTTTTTTCATTCTCTTAATATAACTAATTTTAAGAAGCCCATGTTTGGTACATTAATACGTTATTTAATTTATGGTTGGGTCTGCTATCTTTAAACTAAATGGCGGATTATTACTGTAAAAGTAGGTTGCCTTCTGTAATTTTTTTAACGGGTAACAGTAAAATTTAGTATATAGGGAAAAGCTAAAGAGGTCTTGTACAGATTTATGGAAGAACACGGAGTGGGGGGATGGGGCATTTAGCATGATGTGAGATTTGGTGTCCCGTCCGTCAGACTCCACTCTAACAGACTGAATACTTAATCTTTGGCAGGTCACTTCAATTTTCTGAGACCTGAGTTTCCCATTCTGTAAGGAGATTGAACTTTTCCACAAGGGAAGAGAAGCAGAATTAAGATTGAGTGTAACTTTATTTACTTTGATGGTGTTTAGTGTTAATGAGTAAAAATAAAATGGCAGAGATAGAAAAATATGGTAGAGAGTGAAAATCATGAGATTTTTGTCCCTGGCGTCAAATACAAATACATTCATCGTCCTAAGCAATTTCCCCTCAGTCTGTTATTAAGAAATTACTTCAAGAGTGAGGCAGCTACTGGAATAGGAAATACAGGCTTTCTGTTTCTTAGAAGCAGAGTGCAATGGGAAAGAAATCCAACCTGGGCGCTAAGAGAGCGTGGTTCTGGTCATACCTTTGCCCCTTGCTTGTCGCTCAGCCTTGAGAGCAAGTCCCTGCCTCATTCCATGGTTGTCTAAATCAGTGATTCTCAAGCTTTTTTTTTTCTCCTCCTGTCAAGATGCTCGAGGTTCCCAAAGAGTGTTTGTTTATGTGACTAATAACTAACAATATTTACTGCGTTAGAAATTTAAACTGGCAAAATTTTAAAGTCTGTATTAATTTACTTAAAATAATAATAAACTCATTACATTAGCATAAATAACATTTATGAAAAGTATGTTTTCCAGACCAAAAAAAAATAAGAATAGCTTTTATTTATTTTTACATGGTTTACAAGTCTTCTTAATGTCTGGCTTAATAGAAGACAGCTTGGATTCTTTTGTTTGTTTCTATATTCAGTTTATTGCAATACTTTGTTTTGGTTGAAGTATGTAAAGAAAATCCAGCCTCATCCAGATAAGTAGTTGGAATAGAAAGGAGTATTTTAATAACCTTTTCAGATAATTGTGGATATTATTCTTTTGTTACTACACTAAAACCGACTACTCGTAGTTTCTTAAAGGTTAGTTGCAGTGTAGGATCTAAAACCATATCATGAATTTTTTTTTAATCCATTAGCATATCTTGTGCTTTGAATGCTTCTTTTACACTATGAGTGATTTTATAATATTTCACACATCAGTCATCTGCAAAATATGGGTATGGGCATATCTTCCATATGTTAACACATTTCATTATACGACATTGAAAGTGTGCATTCGTTAATGTCACCACCAATCTCATCAGAAGAGTCCTTAAGTATTGGGAAGTTGTCAAACTGGTGTCGAATACAAATTTTCCAAAATTATAATTTTCTCTTGAAAGCTTCAGTTTTATCATTGGCAACCAAAAAATGTCAGTTTTCTTTTCTTAAAGTGACAGTGCTCACATCGTTCCTTTTTGAGACTGTGTCTGCTGAACATACTACATCCTACCCAAGTTGGAATAACCATCTTTTCATTTCTAAACCCACTGCTTTTCCTCCAGGCAGCAAGCGGCGATGCTGTATGAGGACTTGCTGTTTTGTCATACAGGGCATTAAGAACATGTGAACAGGAGTTGGGGAGGGAGTGTTGAGATTTAATAAACTTAATAAATTTTATTGTTTTCTCAAGGACTTAAATGAAACTGATGGGTTGTTTTTACTGGGAACTTGTGTCTGTAAAGAACACAATGATGACTGGTATAGTTTGTTGCGCGCGCGCCGCCCCCCCCCCCATTCCATCTAAGGCAGCAGCAGTTTCATCCACCATTGCTTTGACACCGTTGCTGCAAATAGCAACATAGTTGTCCCAGGATTAACCATGAGATTCAGAAAAGTTATTCAGTCCTTTAATAAGTTTCTCACTAGAAATGATTAGTTGGTGCTAATAATAGATGAATACAAGCAAAGCAGAAAGTCCAGCCCAATTTGTCCATTTGTAAGGTCAAAGTACAACTCTGTAGACAAGATATTGACCCTGTCTATGTGCTGCAACTGAAGCTTTTGTTCACAACTCGTTCAGCCTCTGGGACACTCTACTGTGCACTAGAGCAATAACAGAAGTGGAAAGGGGAAATAATGGCTTAGTACCATCATACAAATAGTTCCAACCTGGAGACCCCCAGGTATCTGGGGCCTGATCCCAGCCCACTTGGAGAACCTGTGGTCTAGATGAGTTAGAAGAACAATCCACCTTAGGGGTTGATCTTCCCTTTAATTAAGTTAACGACTGATCTGAATAGTAAAAAATGTTTAGCTTATTGCTTCAGAAAGACTTTGTTTAAAAAATAGTCATTCTGCTGAAAGTCAACATTGATTGTAGCCTTTAAACAGAAAATGGCATTCCTTGGGTTGAGGCCACTTTCTGCAGATAATTAAAATGTTATGCACTTAGTATGATTGACAATGAAACGAAAGCATAAGTCACATTCTGAGTGAAAACTCCGGTCTCTGGAAAAGGCAAGAAGAGAACAGCTTGTCTTTCCTTCCATTTTTGATAACATCCCTGAAGAGTGGTGCTCTGCCTTGATGGACACAGCCTTTCTAAAAAGCCCTGGGTTCATTGCTGCTGTTCACGCCATGTTGCACCTTTTGTTATGCTAGAGAGTGCAGCTGAGAAATCAGATCAAAGTATATGTATCAAGATGGAACTTGTGGAAATTGCAAAGTGTGTAAAAGAAAAAGCCTAGCGCTTTGTCCATGATACACACTAAGGAAATGTCTGTTAAATGATTCTTTTTTACTGTAAAAACAAATTCTGATTCCTCTTGACTACCAGATAATCTTCAGTTCTTTCTTTTCCTCTCCACCAGCTGTTTTTCCTTTGTTTTCAGTTGTCATTAGGTGATGTGGCTCAGTTGAGGCTCTGAGACAGTTCTTCCTAATTAAAAAAAATACTCCTGTGACAATATCAAGCATTATGATTTGACTCTACATTTAATTTTTTGGATGTGAAACCTTGTTATTTTTATCCTTCATGCCACTGCAAATGACACTACCTCAAGTTCTAGATGGAGGACTAATCAGATAAATGGGTGGAAATCTTTCCTGTAACGATATAAATTGATATATAGCACTTTTAAGTTTCGCAAGACTCTTTGCAGATATTTGATTTGGGCCTTACGAAAACTTTTGAAGTGTAGGTGTGGTGTGTGGTATTTTACTTCATTTTACAGATGGAGTAACTGAGGCCCAGAGCTCAATTGACTTGTCCATGGTCACAATGATATTGTAGAAGGGCCAGATATGGAATTTTCTTAACTCAACTCTTCCAGTTCCCAACTCCTGTACTCTTTGCAAATACTCAGTTGTCTTAGTTCTGACACTGTGGTGCCAACTGAAGAAAAAAGAAAATCCCTCTTCCTCTAGATGATCCTTAAAATACTCACAGTACAACTCCTGGCTGCCAGACCATAAATCTCTCCCCTTATCTTGCTGCCAATTCCCTTTGAGACACATGTTGTCATCTTCTGTTCGCCAAGCTAAAGACTTGTAGTTCGTCTAGTCATTTGGTGGCATGATGTCCAGTTCTTCTACAGCTTAAATTGGAGTACCATCATTTAGCCAGAAAGCAAGTAATTTAGGTTCTATTTTTGAGAGAGAAGTACCGAACTTCTCTCAAACTCAAGGTAGCTTCCTTTACCTGTTAAACTCTTAATGGTAGTGTAGTCATAAAAGCTGCGGTGAAAGGGAAGGACACTCGGTTTTTCAGACCCAAGCTGGTATTGGGCTTCAGAATTATCTATTACAATTCTGGACATTATCACCCCTTCTACTGCTCTAGAATAGGGACTCTGAGTTGAAAATACTACAAATCTGGGATAGAACAAAATAGCTTGAAATCAGAGCAAAGGAAATCAGATGTTTGAAGCAGGAAAGCCTGCAGGTTGTTAGCCCTGTTCTGCTCTAGCACCTGCTTTTCTTTAGGGAACATCCCCCCCCAGCAGTCAGTACTTGATCAATTGTTAATCTCCAGATTTCATTTTCCTGGAGGTTACCTGATAGTGATCGTGTTTGCTGTCATACTGTTGTCTGATACGTGACATCTTTTCTGTATAAAACATAAACGCATTCTTGACAGGAGGAGCATCCCATTGTATTTCTGTTCCACATAGATCACTTATGTCAAAGCCTAATAGAATCATGGCCCCTAATTCCTACAGAAGGTACTAGCATTATCTGTATTTTTATTTATTTTATTAAATGTTTCATCGTTACAGTTTAATGTAGTTCAGGTTGCTTGTTGTCACGTTAGCAGCAGCACATTTTCAGGTCATCTCAGAGTAGATGACATTTACAACTGGCTGATACCATTTTATATTGATTCTTAAGAGTTTTAAATTTAATACAAATAATAAATTATTTTCACTTTGTCCCTAAATATGCTCTTCGGGGTTTGTTTCCTTGTAATCATTAACTACCCGTGGAGGATTTAGGTAAAGTAATACTTTTTATCTTAGATAGCATGAAGATAATTTTTAAAAATAACTTTAGAATATTCATTTTACAGTTTTACATGGGCAACCTATCACTATGGTATATGTGGTAGAAAGAGCGTTAGATTTAAAATCACAGAACCTTGGCTCACGTGCCAGCTCTGGGAGTTTAGCACCTGAGTTAATCTTGAACAAATTCCGTTATCTCTCTTGATGTGTTTCCTTATCTCTGAAATGAATGGTTTGGGCTATATGATCTCTTAAGATCCCTTAGAGATACAAATCTGTTATCCTGAGAGGCACAGAAGGATGATTCGACTTCCTCACTCCCATGGGTAATGTGAATCCAGGACTTCTCCTGATCCAGTGCTTCTATATCCACCCACCTTCTGGCTGTAGAGATTATCCTTAAAAAGTGCTTTTCCAAGTACTGTGTTATTAAGAAGAGAGTCCTGTTCACTAGGAAGAGAGAATGTAATCCTAAGTATATTCTAAGATGAAAACTGTTAGCATTTGGAATTATTTTAGGGGCTGTAGGTCACTAATTTCATTTAAACATCATTATGAAAATAATTCAGAGGCCTTCTGCCACTGAAGAAGTTGAGGGCTAGCCTCAAAACCAGGAAAACCTGTGTTCCAGTCCTACCACTAATGCTTTTGTACTGTGTAACTCAGGGCAAGTAACCTCTTCCTGCCCCCAGGCAGCAGTAGAGGCAGTTTCCTTCCCTGGGAGTTCTCTATACCGGTGCAGTCTCAAGTCTAGTCCCTGCTCATACCCAATGGGTTCTTTGACTGTTTACAACCTTTGAAGAGATTTACCGACCGCTCATTAGCGTCTTTGCTTTCTATATTCTGCTCTCCACCAAAAAAAAAAAACCCAGATGAAAGCATATTCACACCACCACCACCCAATCTGTTGACCCATATTTTTATAAATATATTAAGACTCTTGTCTTTGTATTACATTTAGAGAGACTTAGAATCAAAAGACAGCAGCCTCACAGCAACATTTATATGGTACTTGATACCTCCTGAATTATTTGCAAGCATAGTAAGTAATAATTTTAAAGAAATTCTAAACCTTAGAATGGGAAAATCAAGATCCCTCAGGTATTAGACATTCTGTATTCTCCCCCTTTACTGTATATATTCAATAAGTCACAAACCAAAATATCTAAATTATTCAATTTATACTATGCTTAAAGCTGGTGAGTACCTTCTCTAAATGGGAAGTAGCTTGCTAGAGCCAAAGAAACCCCCATTCTCTTTCTGAAGCTTAGCAAGATCAGATTGATAAGCAGAGCTTTTTGCTTTTCCTCCATCTCCAAAAACCTGTAACATTTGTTGTGAAGTTTACATTTGATTACAAGTTTCTTTTGTTATCATTGTGGTCAAGAGTTTATGCAGAAGGGGTAGGCACGTGAAGCCAAGAGGGTACAGGCCAAGGAGATTAATGTGCTGCCTATGAGGCATCCAGTTTTCATGCACTGCCTGGAGCAGGACTGTCCCAGCCATGTGCATTGACAATTGGGCAGCTTCACTTGAAGCTTGCTGGTGTATCTACCTTATATTGGTCATTAACACATGTTATTAGACAGCTAAAATTTCAGGGAGCCCCTAGCAAATTTTGAAAGATTTCCTGACTTTGGGTTTGTTACATCGTAAAGTAGAATCGTGCTTGTTCTTTTGGAAATGCTGTGTGTGAATTTAGTGTATTTGGGAGCCTGTGCATTTTCTTTTTTTGTGGTAATGTAGTGCTGTGGTAACTAATCTCTTCTCTCGTTGTCTCTCTCTGTCCTCAGTGACTCGCCTTTGCCAGTGTCCTCACGTGTCTGTTTTGTAAAGTTCCACGATCCAGACTCGGCAGTTGTGGCCCAGCATCTGACAAACACTGTATTCGTTGACAGAGCTTTGATAGTCGTTCCCTATGCAGAAGGTTTGTGCTTTGTTTCACTGCCTATGTGGCCATCCTCTTGATGACCGTCTACCTCAGTCTAGTTTGGTAGAGTGAGTAATAGTAGCATGTTAAAAATCTAAGCAATTAACATTTTGAGACCCTTGGTATACTGTGGTCCGTAGTTTTTACTGACATTATGGTCAATTTTTAGTCATTCTTAATTTTCAAAATTAGAGTCAGTTCTAATTTTTCTAGTTTAGCCCTTTTTTATTAGTGAAAATAAAATAACTGTCCTTAACTTCAATTCCTAAAAGACATTTAGTAAGCAATTATCTTAATTGGTGTTAAGTTTAACCCCTCTTCCCCTACCCTTAAAAAAAGCCCTTAAAAATCAACAGTCTGATATATGCACTTTCACATAGATGCCTTTAAAAAATGCATGACTTGGAATTCTACTTTTAAAACAAATGAGAACAGTAGTGGCCATTATTTCCTTTCACTGATACTTCCAATTAAATTTACCAAATTGTAGATTCCAGTATACCAAGGGTTGAATGATTGTGGTTTGTGTGAAAAGCCAAAAATTCCTTTAGGTTAGGTGCCAGAGGGGCACTGGGCATTTTATTTTATTCCAAGTTTTCTTGTTCAGCCTTGCTATACTTTATAGAATTTCACTAAATAATAAACTCTTCTCTCTGTTATTTGTGTGTGTGATTTTTGTAGTGGAGAAGGCAAATGCAAAGCCCTTCCAGATGACTGAAAAACAGTGGGTCCTCTGCCGCTACAGGGGATTCTAGACAATAACTAAAGGCCAGCAAGCCCCGCTCAAGCCCCCCAGGTGTTTTCCTGGTGTCACCAAATGTTAACTACATTTTCTGTCTTTTTACATTTTAGGCTGTTAAAGTAATTGGACAGGACAAAAGTGGGGTGGGTGGATCTTAACAGTGGGAGAAGACAGCACTTTTACAGCCGCTTTATGAAATTTGAGGCAGACTTTAGTACAAATGTACCTTTACTTGATTTATTTCTCTATAAATGTAGCACATGGTTAAGAAAAATCAGTGAAATATAGGAGAATTACTGGAATTTAGGTAAATGTGTATAATTACTGCATTTATTGGCCAGGCATTTTAAATCTGCCATTTTTTCTTTCATGAACTGGTCACAGGGCAGCTAGCTTCTTGATACTGTCTTTTCTAAAAGGAAAATAACTTAAAACTCTCAGTATCAGCCTGAAAATTTGCACCATGCCTGATAATTGGGTTTCAAGATCTCTAGTCCAGAAGACTCGTAGAGATTGATTTTGTTTTTCTGATCTTCTGCTCCTGGCGAAGGCATGCTCTCTAACAGCATGTCCGTCTCAGTACTAAAGAGTAAGAGCCTGGCTATGACCAGTCTTCCCTGGGGTGGCGTGTTGTGGCTGAGTCATTTCCTTTTTGTCACTGTTCCTGTTAGAGAAGAAACCTGGCACCCAACGAAATCCAGATCGTGAGCCTGATTGATGGGTCTTGGTGCAGGTCTTTGGGGCAAATGCCTGTAAAATAATTTGTAAGGACATTTTAGTGAGGCTTTTCTAGAAAAAGGAATCCTTTGTTGGATAAGCCTTCTGTCAAGTTTTTCCAGCATACCATAAAACAGCAGCTTTTCATATACGGTTTAAAAGGGAACATTGTCACTTTTTTAGATGAGTTTTTGAAAGTGAATTTTTTTAATCTATTTAATTATGGATGGTTTTCATTTCAAAAACCTCTTCTTGGTGTATTTCTCTTACAATGTGCGGTGTTAATGTTGCCTGGCACCAGGTGTCTCACTGCACAGTTTCTCCTCCCCCCTCTCACAGTTCCACTCCCTTTTTAGCTCTTACCCTTTGGTGTTGGCTCTTGCTCAGTGTGTTAGAATTGTACACACAGAGTCTATGGGAAGGCATAGCCTGAAATTGAAAACATTGTGATATAGTTAGATTTGCAAGGAACTCTTAATATTAATGGATTGGGGGATTATTTAGGTTCCTTGGTTAATGTTTGTTTCTTTTGTCTGTTTCTTTTTCTTTCATTTCTACACATTCATGCAGTATTTCATGGTTCTATCAAAGCAGCAGTAAAAAAAAAAACTCTTGACGCATGAAAATTAACTGGTGAGGGGCCTCATTGCTATTTTCAAATTGTAGTTTTATTTTTAAATAGTTTTTTTTTAAAAATCAGAGGATCGGATGCATGATTTTTTTTAATGGATGCAGATCTTCTATTAGGTGTCTCACAATAAGTTCAAGAGGATTTCTATTTAGATTGCCAGAAATGTTGCAATTGCACTAATTTGAGATAGAGATGTTGATATTTTATATATCCTCTTTCTGAGACATAATTTTGCATGCAAAATTATCCCTTAATCTCTATAGGTATGTTAATATATTGATGCATTAATTAGTGCCCAATATCCAAATGATCTTCTCCCCCCTCTCCCTCCATAACTCTTGGTATCTAAATTGATGACAGCTCTGACACAAACAAGATAACAGTGCTGTGTATTATACATTTGTTTATATTATCGGCACTCTCAGTATAGGTGGAAGGAACCATTACCTTTATTTAACAGTGGTTTTTCTTTTTTGTTGTTGTGTTTTACAGTTCTTTTCCCTGGTTCAGCCTGAACTATATACCAGGCCCTGCTGAAAATACCACCCAACAGTTTTCTTCTGCAGCTTATCCAGTTTCTCTTAAGTGCCCTGTACATATTGTATGTTTTATGATGAGATGCAGTTTCTTAATATGTATTACAGAAATACTACTGGTATTTGCAAATATGTAGTTAAATTGTATTATTGAACTCTCATTTTGGGGGCTTGGGCACATTAACAGATTAATCCATCTATCTGTATAGGGCTTTTGCTGTTGGATAGGATTAAAATTGTCTACATGAGTATTGTCTTATCATAGGACCCTTATTAATATTTATGCTGAATACATAGACTAGGCATTTAAAATGGACATACTTGTCTTTTGTGGCTTCAAGAGTTTGGGCCAAAGTTTGCTTTTTAACTGGCAATATATAGCAGCATTTTTTGGTACCGTTAGCGTGGCACGTATTGGAACATAAAGCATTTCACTACAGGTAAGGAATGTGCCAAAGTCTATACCCTTCACGCACCCAGTGAATATTCAGAGATCTGCAGAGCCATTCGGTTTCACTTTGAGTCAGCAAAAGCCCTACGCTTGATTCAACAGAATTTCCTTACATACCTTTCTTCTCTTTAATTTTTACGAAATTTATATGGTAGGTGTAAAAAAGATCATAGTGAACTGTGCCATATTATTAACCCCTAAATCAACCTTTTTTGTCTTGTGTATCTTGATTTTTCTGTGTGCTTTATAGTGAAGCAGCCGACACGAGTCGTGTTCATAAAACAGCTTTTGAAAGTTGAGAGCACACCCTGGAGAGCCGACTGTGCTTGCTTACCTTTGGTTCATGACTTAAAAATCGAGTACAGGTGATGACATCTTGGCAGTGTTAACAAAAAAGTAGTGTGTATTGTGCTATTTTTTTTTACTCTAGAAACTTAACCATTTGTAGAGAAAAAGGAAGTCAAAATTTCACACATTGAAGTTTCATTCTGACATAAAATTAGTGATAAATATTAATAGAATTCAAGCTTTATATTTTAGCCAACATAAGTACTTTCAACAAACTCAGGTGGTGTATCAGGGAGACATTTTCTGGGTGTTTTTGTGTGTTTTCTGTCTTGAAAAAGAATGTATTCTAATGCATGGCTATCTCTCTGCAGGAGTTATTCCTGATGAGACTAAGGCTTTGTCTCTGTTGGCACCAGCTAATGCAGTGGCAGGTCTTCTGCCTGGTGGTGGACTTCTGCCAACCCCCAACCCCCTTACCCAGGTACTGCTCCTCATCAATTCTGAGAAAATGATAAGGAATGGAACTGGCGAAGTGTTTTTAAGACATGGCCTCACGGTAGCACAAGTAGCGAGAGTCAGGAGGCATTCGTTTACTTACACAGCTTAGCTAACAAAGCGCAGTGCTTGCTACAGGGTATGTGCTTAATTATTTTCAGTTGTGCTGTCTAGAAATGTTACCGCAAATATAATTACATTGCATAAAACTTGGCAAAAACAAAATTCCAGGTGTCTAGCATGCTAAAGATTATTTTTGCAGCCTCCCACCCCTGAAAAACAAGGCACTCACAATTTGGTAGCTCATGTAAACATCTGGCCCTGCTTATTGCTACAAAAGTGGGCTACTGCCAGGTCTCATGCTTTGGTGAATTAATAGTTATAACTGTTCTTGAGCATCACTGATTATAGTAATAATTTGATGGAACTTACAGTGAGGAACTGTGATCCATAATTCATAAGCCTAATGGCTTTAGAGGTTCTTAACTACACTACACAATACAATGATGGTGCTGTGCTGCAGACTTAAAAGAAAATTTGTGTACCTGTTTAAAAAGTCATAGTTTGCTTCTTTTTCTCAAATCACTATGTTTAACATAGTTCAAAAAAATATATAAGCATTGTAAGTTGCAAGAAGTCAAAATTACCCATTTACATCTGAGAGTACTTAGATGACCCCAGAGGATCAGTGGATAAGGTAAACTAAGATTGAAAACTTGGGTAAGGTTAACAGAATATAATTTGTCCAGGAAAATCACCAGTATTTCTGCGTCTGGAATTAACAAAAATTAAGAAATTGTATTCCAGATAATTACAGAATGTTTGGACTATATGAAAATTAACCTACCAGGACATATGCATGGTTTATATAACTGCAGCTCTGAAACACTTTACAGGGGGAAAAGGGGAGACTTTGATAACTGGAAAGATTGATTGCTCATTGTGATAGCATTCACAACACTATCTAAATTTGTTTATTGATTTAGGGGTTTGGGGTGGTTCTCTAAAATGTTCTTTCAAAGTACATAAAATCCGTTTGAAAGATGAATGGTCTAGAATCTCCAGGGAAATGGGAAAGCAAGTAATTGAAAGAGGTGCGGCATCGCAGCCTTGTAAACTAGATTGTAAAACAGCAAGCGTTAGAACGGTTTGATCCTGGTTTTTAAAAATGTACCGTGATGGTACAGAGCGAATAAGCAAGAAACGAAACAAGCTGATGTTTGCTGAGCCCCAGAGCTGGAGATCTTTGTTGGAGGGAGGAGTGAAGACAGAGACTGCTGGGAAACTGGGAAGCACATTGGCAGAAACTGGGTGTGAGCCACCACAGGTTCACAGTGGGCACGGGACCTTAAGGTATAAGGCCACACGGAAAATGGAGAAGAGAAAATTGAGGCACCTTTCACACAACTGTTTGTTGACTAGTCATAGAATTCTTAACAAAGGAAAGAAAGATAAAAAATGCTCAGATAAGACAATTTTTACTACCTAAAATTAGAGTGGATGGCAAAGCCACGAAGATTTGGTCACCTCCTCTGATGCACACTGACTTGAGCCAGTTACTTGAACTGTATGCCTGCGCCAGGCAGCTCCCTCTCAGCCCTTTTTACTTTTCAGAGAATGTGCTGACTTAGAGAAGTTTCTTCACCTGGAAGTTCCCTCAACCAGTGAAATTACAATTCCATTCCCTCTGCAAAGTACAAAGCTAATCAGCACAAACCAGAACCATTCCATTCTTTAAAGAGTTCAATTTATCAGCAACCATATGAGAAAATTCTACAAATCAGTAAGAGAAATACTTCATAAAACAACTAAGATTTTGTGTTCACACCATTCAGTGTTTCAGAAATGACAGACATTTCAGTGCAGGGGAACTTAAAACCAAGAAGTAATTCAACATTTGCATATATTTATGGCTGACCTAGTGATCCCACACTAGACTCCAAGGAAGTCAGGGAAAATGAGCTCTGTCCCCTTTATGGTCCCATTCAATTGAAGCAAAGTGAATTTGCATTGAATGGGGGCATGAATGAACAAACTGGAAAGAAGGGCAATGAATGGAATGTTGTTGGGCAGAAGGAAATCACAAAAAGGAACTCAGGGAAGAAACATGCCATGGTTTGTATGGACTAAGTGTGGCGTGAAATAAACAGAACAAACATACAGCCGCAGATGTGGAGGCGATAGGGACTTGGTGTAAGATTGATAGACACACGCCACGTGACCAACGTGAGAAGTTGTTTTCTTTGCTTATTTGTATTTGTTACTAGGAGTTGCTTCTTTTTCAGTTGAGGTGGGAGAAGGATAAAGGAAGGCAAATTTAGGTTGATGGAAAAAATAAAATTGAATTTTTTTTTTAAAGAAATAACTCAGAAGACAATTGTAATTATAACAGTGTAAACATAAGGATCACTGAAAGGCACTGGACTTCTGAGGAGCTGCAAAGCTGAAGAAAGTGCTGTTTAGGGGCAGTGGGGAGGGCCAGAACTGTTGATGAATAAAACTAAACACAGAAAGTTGTTTTTAAGTCCCAGAAAACATAACAATGCCTCTGTTCTGAGAGGCAGGGAAACTTAGGACATGTATAGTCATTTATTATGACTGGTCTTGTGGTTTCAGTAGCGTTGGGAATTCAAGGTGAGAAAATGCTCTCTAGCAGGGGCGCATAGCACTGCTCCAGTGCAGCCTGCCGCCCTCAAGCGCTCAAGGTTGCCCATCTCACCTTTTGTATCCTTTCCGGTGGGTAGTGCTTCTAGGCCGGGGCTCTTGGCAAATGGCAGTCACTGGCCACGATGGTAGGGCTGTGAAGAAAGCTGCTTGTTATGTCTGTGACCTGCGTTCCCTAGCCTGGTGTGTTAGAAGTAGGACTTAAACCTAGCTCTTTAGGCCTTGAGGCCAGCTCTCTGTAATTCCCTGTTGTCTGTTGGATGTTTTTAGCCAATGATTTTTTTTTCTTGTGGGAAGGTAGAGTTGAATGAATGACGAAAGGCATCAGAATTTTATTTTAGAATCTTTGGGTTATGCTGTAGCAAACCTCAGAAAACAACTATGCTGTTGAAGTATACTTATAAAAAAATAAGTTGAATATTTCAAGTATATGGCAATCACCAGAAATTTTTGTTATATGTTGCTCTTTCACAATATTTTTGCCAGAAGCCACGTCTCCAGCTGTAGAGCCTAGATAAGGAACAAAAGTGTTAGAGCTGCTCTTTTACAAATGAGCAGGTAAAGAGAGTTACGTTTGCTTCGGTTACAGGGAGAGAACACAGGACATACCAATCTATTACTGGTCCAAGCATTTTGACCTGTTGGTAGGTCCTGGGATTTGGGGTGGTTTTTTGGTTTGTTTTCCTCTTCCAAAGGATGTTTGTTTGGTAGTTACACTAAGGATTCTTGGTAGGGCTCTTTAAGTTGGGAGAAGATCCAAGTAAATCCTCGATAAAAATGACAAAACACTTGATTTGCCAGAATTCTGCACTTCTAGAGCTGGCTAGGGTCATGAGAAGTCCACTGGGAAGAACTGAGGTCAGGAGAATGGAAGCATCTTGTGGGAAAAGCAGCTTGAGGGTCAGCCTCTGGATAACTAGATATAAACCACATGTATTTTGAGAAATGAAGTGACTTCCTGATTAGAATTTATCCTCATTTTCTGCTGCATAATCTCAGTTTTATTTCTGAAATTTTAACGGTGCAGGTATCATCTAGTAATGAATTTGAGATCACTGGTTTTGGGTCAACATTGGCACCCCATTGTTCACCTCGATGTAACTGACTTGCTGACGTGGTGCCTGTGTTTGCTTGTGTGTGTTGGACGTCTCTGGACACCTCTCTTTTCTCCTCCACAGATTGGTGCTGTTCCTCTGGCTGCTTTGGGGGCCCCTGCTCTGGATCCTGCCCTTGCTGCTCTAGGGCTTCCTGGAGCAAACCTGAACTCTCAGGTAGAGTTTCCTTTATTACCTTTCTCTTTGTCCTGATTCACGAAGGCTGCATTTCTGTGCCTGTGTTAATTGTTGTTTAAGAGAATTATAATCATGCCTTGTTCTCTTGGTGTGGTGATAATTGTTTTTTTCATGTAAACTTGCTCTTATGGCGCACTCAGGATCGCAGTGTTTAGAGCTGCCAGTTGTGTATAAATTTGGACATGTAGTCTGTGTGTCAGCAGCTTTGGCTAGTCACCGAAATCAGCATTTGGAGGATGGTTTATGTACATGTCTTAGGCATGTGAGTCAGTTTGGGTTTGTTCTGTCCTCTTTCACATCTTACTCTCCAAGGTTGTTTGGGATGGAGAGGTTGCAGATAATTTCGTCTATCAGTTATTTTACAAGACCATTACTATCATGGAATCTTTGCTTCATGTAACATTAGCTAATGAACTTTGGGATTTTTTAAATGTATAAAATCCTATCCTTTTGTCCCATCCTCAGTACCCCTTTGAGGACATGCCTAAGAGTGAAAACCTTACAGCAAGGCCTAACGTGTGGGAGGTGGTGTGGGGGCCATTTCACATCCGGTGACTCCCATGGGATTATAAAGTACTTAGTGCCACCGAGGGATGAATCTGTTACAGTTATTGACCAGATAGCATGTTCTCTTTATTAAATGTCCTTTTATCTTTTTACAGTCTCTTGCAGCAGATCAATTACTGAAGTTAATGAGCACGGTGGATCCTAAGTAAGTTTTCTTTAATACGAATCAAAGTGTTACAGATGAGGAATGTGGATGTTTAGAGCACAGCTCTTTTTTGGATAATTCATATAGCAAGTTAACTGGATGTTACATTAAATATTTTTACTTGAACTTGTAACATTTCCAAAGAAATTTCCTAATTTTACCTGTGTACCTTATATGATTTCATAAGTTTCACCCAGTCACCTAGTAACCAAGTTATCCTTCAACAAAATACAGTTATTTACCAGCCCTGTGGACTCTCCTGGCCTCCCAGAACTCAGACAAGGCTGAGGGTCTGCTCTGGCAGGTGGCTTGGCGTTTACTTTCATTTAGGGAAATACTGAGTCTGAAGTCATGTAGTGAAATGTTACGTGAGGTTTCATGACATAACAGTTCTGTGGAAGAGTAACTGCATGGTTTGATGTAATTGTACGGTGGCCCATTTGTGAAATGGGTGCTGAGAGCTCATTTCCAAAGAGTGTTGTAAGCCTCAGAAACATCTGCTCACTATCTGTTGCCATGTGCTATTTCCCATTGAGGGGCAGCATGACCTTAGGAAGGGCACTGACTGGGCTTGTAGTTGGGATCCAGAAGGTTGATATTCAGATCTTGTATTCAGAACATCATAACTGGCACCTCTGTACTTATAAGGGACTTTGTGCAGAGGGGAACATTCTTCAAGGGGTCCCAGAAGTCTATGTGGGATTTTGTAGTCTGCACTAAGACTTCTGGGACACCTCGAGGACATTGGGGGGGGGGTCAGTGTTATTCAGCTCGAAGGCTTAATTTTTAGGCTCCTGTTCAGGCTCTTGGATGCCTTGATTCCCTCCCAGGGGTTTCAAGATGGCTGAGGATCCTGTCATCAACATAAAAATCTTTTAGCTTTCCTCATTTCTCAGTGGACCCCCAAATCAGTTTATACAATCAGTAATCGATAGCCAGTAAACATTTATTAAGTGCCTGTTGTGTGCCAGGCACTGTGCTAAAGCTTTGGGCTTACAAATAAAAAAAAAAGAAAGAAAGAAATGGAAAGCTAGAAAGTAGCCGGGGGGGGGGGGTCACAGTGGACAGTCAGAGAAGTCCCAAGGGCGTGGCAGCAAGCCGGAGGTCCCGGGGGAGCTTTGCTGGGTGTCAGTGCTGTTGTCTTGCATGCTTCTGTGTTGTTATCTAAGAGCGTGGCTCTGAGTTTTTAAATAGGAAAATCTGGTCTGAAATCGTGCTTTGTAACGCACACTAGGACTGACCTCCTTGTTGGTTTCAGGTTGAACCATGTTGCTGCAGGTCTTGTTTCACCGAGTCTAAAATCAGATACCTCTAGTAAAGAAATAGAGGAGGCAATGAAAAGAGTAAGAGAAGCGCAGTCACTGATTTCCGCTGCAATAGAGCCAGGTAAGTCCTGACTCTTCACATGTTCGTGGTATGTGGGGGTGGGTGTGCATGCCACCGACATAAAAGGGAAGCGTGTCTGCTCTTCTTAATCATGTTATCAGGGGGAGTCCACTTAGATGCATTTGAAACGGGAGCATTCGTGGCTGGAGGCCACTAGGTGGCGCCGTGGTGCACAGAGTGCTGGTCCTGGGGTCAGGAAGATCCTCTGGGTTCACTTAGCCTTGTGACACTGGGCAAGTCAGAGTGTCTAGCAGAGAACATTCTGATTTTGCAGATTGGCACATATCCTAATGTGTGGAGAAATGAGTAGTAGTAGTTAGATGTTTGGGTTTGTCCTTTCAGGCTGATGAGACATTTATAATCTTGGCTTTATCTGACGAATAGGGAGGTGTTGGGGATTCCATCATTACTGAGAAGCAATCATCAAGAACATTCTGTGAAACATCATTATTATTATTGTTATTTGGTGGACCATGATGCAAGGAAAAATCAGTCTTTACAGTATATTAACTTATTGAAAAGTGAAAAGATCAATGACACCTCTTGACATATTAGGCAGAGCTTGGAAGGAAAAACACCTGGCAGAGCCCATGGATGGTAACGCCGTGGGTTAGCAGGGCCATATTTCAAGTAGAGAGCTGGGACAGTGAAAAGGTTTGGGAAGGATCCTTAGAGTTGTCTTTTATGGGTTCCTCTCGTTTTAATGATAAAACAGACCTCTAGAAGGGGTAAAGCAACATGTCTCTGGAATCCCAGTGTAGGTCCTTCAGCTCCGACTTCAGGGCTCTCCCATGAGTATGAGCTCCTTGAAAACACTGTTTTACAGTCTCACACGTGTTAGGTGCCTCATAGCTATTTCTTGGATTGAATTAAAATCCTACCACCATAGATGCTAAAGAGAGGGAGCCCATGAAAGCCATTTGGGATTAAGCTTGGGAAGTCTTTTAACCCCTTTGAGGGAGCCCTTCCTATAGGCAAGGATTTAAAAGGAAAAGATGGTCTTAGTTCTGAGGTAGTAAACATTGCAAAAGCATGATGGGTAGTAGAATCTGTCTCATAAAGCCGTGAGCTCAGTGCTTATTACTGAATTGAAGAGAAATAGATCCCGCTTCAGAAAACTGAATTCTAGGGATTATTTCGTGAACATGCAAAATATCTGAGAGAGATTCTAAGTGCCAGTGAGAGGGGGGACATAGAACTTAGAATGAGAAAATGGCTGTTTTTAAAGATACTGCCTCCCAGGAGCTCCTAAGATGCATCCTGATGCTGTTCAACAGTTGTGAACCCAGGCACTCTTATTTCCAGATAAGAAAGAAGAAAAACGGAGGCATTCGAGATCAAGGTCCCGTTCCAGGAGGAGGAGGACTCCTTCGTCTTCCCGGCATAGGTGAGAGCGCTGTTCTTTCATGAGTCACACCCCTTTGGGTACCTTGCTGGGTGTTTGCAGATTTGGGGCTGATTATGTAGACCGAAGAAGATAGTCTGTTTCTGAAGAGCATGAAAACAGTATAAATCTAAGCCCCTTGTGTCTTGAGCTGCCATCAGCATCTTGAACTCAGTACGTTTGAAACTAAACTCATTTCCCTCTGGTCCTTCCCGACACCGGCATCTCTCCAGGTTCGCAGCTTGGGGGGCATCGTCCTTACCCCAGCACTGTTTTCTTCCACATGGCAGTTCATTGCCAGATGTTTGCCTTTATGATCTCTCTTTTGTACCGTCCCTTCTTTCTACTAAAAAGGCTGTTGCTTGAGGTGAGGCCTTGATCGCCTTCATTGGTATTCAGTCCTGTTGTACTCTGTGGACCATACTGTCCGTGGAGTTTTCTTGGTCAAGATCCTGGAGTGGTTTGCCACTTCCTTCTCCCGTGGATTAAGGCAAACAGGTTAAGTGACTTGCCCAGCGTCACGCAGCTGGTAGTTGTCTGAGGCCACGTCTATCCACCGAGCCAAGTAGCTGCCCCTTCCTGATGAGCTCCCTTTGGGGGAGCCTCTTGTCGGGTCTCCCTCCCCAGGGATCACTAGTGGCTCCCTATTGCCTCTAGGGTAAAATTCAGACTTTTCTCCCCAGTCTTGTTACGGTAGACTCACGCACTTTGTCGTCCCACCACGTATGTGTGCTACTCAATCCTTCCTCTTCATCTGTACCGATTGTCATCGGTTCTTGTTCTCCCCTCCCCACCCCCATCCTCCAAACAAACAGATACACCAACCAGCCAGCCCTGGAGCACGTTGCTCCTTTACTTTTGGAGTCTCTGGTTTGTCCTTCTTAGACTCAGATCAGGTACCTCCTAAGTGGACAGTGAACAGCTGACGGCCGGTCTGCTTTCAGATAGTTCCCCAGACTGTCTTTGTTTAGGATTCAACAATCCATAGAATTCCTTTCATCTACCATTTTAGTAACTTGATCATTAAACAGAAGGTAGTTTGACCTTTTATTGATGAAGTTCTGTTATTTGTATCATAAGAAGATTCTGGAATTTTGCCAGGCTAAATCTAATCTGATGATGATTTTTTTCAAACGTGAAAGAGTCCACCAATATATAAACACTGAGTGGCAACAGCATGGGTAGACAACAGTGGAGGTGAAAAACCTCGCCCGATCTGAGCCCATAGCTCTCTGGCTGTTGGCTTCATAACTAAGGAGTACAGGTCATAACCTAGAACATTGAGCTCCGTTCTGGCCACCATCTGGGACATGGACAAACCAGGGCTTCCATGGGAGGACTAGAGAACATGCCATCCCCATGTAGACCAGCTGAAGGGACGAGCTCCCTGCAGGCCTTAAAGTGCTCCAGACTCGTGAGTTCTGGGGCTGCAGAGAAGCATGTGTGTAGTTCAGGGGGGGTTAAAAGGGAAAAGCTATTTAACAGTGGATCAGAGCAGAATATATTGTTTCAGAAGGTAGGTAATGATGGCTACTGGAGAGCCATTTGGTAAAATTTTGTAAAGAATGTTCCCGTTGTATTATAGGTGGAACTAGAATCCCCCTGAAAGTTTCTGTAAAGTCATTTATTGTTATATGACGCTGATCTCCACATTCAGTACCTAGCTAGGTACTCAACTGAGTACTTAGCTGAGCAAGTGGAAGTTGTCCTCATTTAAGATCTCAGAGTTCCCATTTTATCAAAGTACTTTGTAAAATCTACATTCTTTGTCTTTATGTTGGCACTTTAATGACTACACATTTTAAGCCCTGAGTGTGAGTCCTTAGACTCAGATGGTGATCTTGTAGCTTATTGCCTCTTAGACGGTCCAGAAGCAGATCCAGAAGGAGATCCCATTCTAAGTCAAGAAGTAGGCGACGATCCAAAAGTCCACGGCGGAGGAGATCTCATTCTAGAGAGCGGGGCCGAAGATCCAGGAGCACGTCAAAAACCAGGTATGCCGCACACACCTCAAGATCCCAGTGCCCAGGCTCTGTGTGGGCCCGTGGTGGGGATGAGACAGGAAGGCAAGGCTGCCAGCCTCAGGGGTAAAGGCCCCTGTGGTTCTGAATAAGAGGAAGGCTGTTTGCTTCCTCTCTATCGCTGCTGAAAGGGACCTATGCCGTCCTTGTTGTTCATTGTAATATAAATTGATAAAGAGCCGACTTGGACCATTAGAACACCCCGATCCCATGCCCCCACATGCTCTGCACCTCCTGGCTGCCTTGTAGAGACTGGGATGAGTAATCAGCTTTGGGTTTTCAGGCAGGTAGGTACCGCATGGTGAAGTTAGACGAGGAAGCAGCAGCAGAATCTCAAAGTGGAGATTGTGGAGCTGCTGCTTCCCAAATATTAGCATGTTTTCATCTGAAACATGCCAGGGTGAAAGCATTCTTTAGGTGGACAAGTACCCAGCATACTGTGGAGTTTGCTGTAAATGTTCTTCTGACAAGTTTTTAAGATCATGGTGGGGGGGGGCAGGATTTTGCTATGGAAACAAACATTTCCACCATAATGATGGAATACAATGAGAAGTTGCTGTTGTCTCCTTGTAGGTCCCTGTAAGGAGAATGGTAGGGATTTTTGCTTGTCTCTTACACGCATTAAGAGGCGTGTGCATGTTAGGTTGATGGTAACTTTTAAAATTAATCTGTCTTATTCACATTTTAGAGACAAAAAGAAAGAAGAAAAAGAAAAGAAGCGTTCTAAAACGCCACCCAAAAGCTATAGCACAGCCCGGCGGTCGCGGAGCACGAGCCGGTGAGTTGAACAGTGTTGATAGTCGCTCCTCTCAACACAAAGTAACAGCTGAGCATTTGTGGCTAAATCAGTACCATGTAAGCAAGGGTTCAGTGGGAGAGTACGTGGCAGTCAGGTTAATTTTGATGAGTGTCATTGCCTTGCCCTCATCTCTCATTTGTCCAATGTGGTGACCTTGGCTCCTTCCTTGGGCTCCTCAGCCTCTGCAGTAGTGGGCCTAAATGACTGCCCTTTGGCTGGCCCTTTACTCCTGGGCTTCCCTCCCCCTGCCTGGGACACAGTGTGCTCACCAAGGATCAGGCAGTCTCTGTCATCTTGGCCAAGGCTCCTGAGCTCGCTGGGCTTTAGTTTTTTCATCTGTAAAATGGCAGCATCACAAATTGTGTCTAAAATAGAACTTAACTTCTTGACCTAAAATCCACCCCTCTACTTACCATGATGGAATTTGTTTCAAGGGCACGTGGTCCTTCTTGGCCTCTCCCTTGGTCCGATCCTGACCCACTCCTTCACCTGGTGTCCATTTTAGCTCCTCAGGATGCCCTTGACATGTGGGAAGGCTTGGGTCAGGCGTGACGGGCTCTACTCGCTCCTTGGTGGCTTCTGTTCTGACCCGTGTCACTCTGCTGCCTAAAGGCCTCTCTGACTTCAACTACGTCCTGGCAAACTGCCCAACTCATAGGCCTCTAGGCCGCTGCCTCCAGGATGCCTTTCTTTTCCCCAGCCGCCTCAGAAAAGGGCATTCATGGTTGGAAGCTCTTTTATGTCTCAGCACCTGCCAAGAGTCTGCGTGGTTCGCTGGTTGCGGGCGTGATTGCCTCTCCCTCCCTGCCATGGATTGCCTGGCCGGCCGAGTGCTGACGGGCTTCCTCGGCTGTTCTGTCAGCCAACCTTCAGCAAACTTTTCAGTAACTGGGGCATACCCACATGTGGCCAGAGAACATGTTTCCATATTTTTCTGTGTGACCTGGAAAACTCATTTAACTTCCCTGGGCTTTAGTTTCTTGATCTGTAAAATGAGATAACGCCTGTAGTATCTCGACTTGGATAGAATCAAATGAAAATACATGTACTTTTCAAACCTTTACAGCCTTTTTTGGGGGGAGGGGGTGTATTTTTTTTTTAATAGTAAGGTCACTTGATCTTGTGTATAGCATCTGGATATTGGTCCTTCAGATGGTGAACTGTCAGACCTGGGGTAACTCGTCCCAGCAGGCAAACACTTGGGGTCCCTTCTTGGCAGCTCTGAGCAGAGACTGTGTTTGATGACGGAGCGTTGTCTCAGTGAGCACCAGACTGGAGCAGGACAGGGATTCGAGCAGACAGCTGTGGAGCAGGGAAGTCAATGTCGAGGGTCACAGGGTCAGGCCTTGGACCTACAAGTGAATAGTGAAGAAAGTGCTTCTCTTGAGTCCAGTTGTGACTGTCAGAGTGGTTCTGTACCAGGTGAGAAGTGTCATTAAAAGTGACTTAACTAGTAAAGGACGGACCTAGGACTGCAGAGCCTGGGCACAGGCTGGCCAGTCGTGTGCTCGACAGAGGGCAAGAGCAGAGACCTGCGTGCCTTGCGCTTGGTTGCGTTACGGAAGCTGCTGCCTTGGTAACCAGACATTTGGACAGTGCTGGGGAGAAATACTCCTGCCTCAGTTTTGTACAGTGCCCCGGGGGAAGATTTAACTGAGGGAACGGTGTCCGTCCTGCCTCTTTGGTCCCAGAGGATGTGTCTAGTGGAAATGTGGCTCTGCCCCTGAATTAGGAACTTTTTGCCTTCAAGTCTTCCTGCCACATAAAGGAGGATAAATGTATTCTACCATAACCTATCCCACTTTTTGATGATTTTTGTTGAGCGTGTTCTTTCCTTATGGAATCTCACTGTCTTCCCTACTCAGTTCAGTCCAAGCTTTGTATTGGGCACAAATGTTTGGGCCCTGAAGCTGGAGAGGAAGAGTATTGATAGGTAGAAGAATCCAGAAGGGCTGCCTGTAGGAGAGCCTTGAAGGAATCGGATTCTGAGAGGTCGAGGTCTTGAAGACCTTGTAAGAGATGAAACTTTCGCATCCATTAGTGACCAGCAGAGATGGTATTTTATCCCAGGGGCAGTAGTGAGCCACTGAAGCTTCTTACGCAAAGAAGTGTCACAGTCGTACTTGGCTTTAGGAAGATCCCTCACAGTTGTGCAGACGGGTTAAAAGGTAAAAACGACTAGACCAATTGGAAGGCATGCAAGTAGTTCAAGGAAGGAGGTGCTCATGCCTGAATGGGCACAGGGACTGTGTGTGCATGGATGGAAGGTTGAAGGGGCAGTTTGGAGGAAGAGACAAATTCTTTTGGGTGTGTTGGTTTAAGATGCCAAAAGGATGCCCAGTTGTGTCTGGCAAGTAATGTGTGCCTAGAGCTCCAGAGAGCAGAGGACTGGATATGTGGGTTTAGGAACCACAGGAGAAGTGGTGAGGGGGGCCCAGAACCCATCCGTACTTGGAGTAGCCCACAGATGATGACTCACCAAAACTCACCCAAGGAGGAAGAAGAAAGAGCCTTCAGTCAGGAAGACCAGAAGAGAGGAGTACTCGGTTGGTCAAGAAAAGAGGAAGACTTTCCTGCCCCAGCATCTTCAGGCTCGCCCTCTTCCACATGCTAGCTGTTGTGTGCACCAGATGTTCCAGCCAGTCCTCAGATTTCACCAGCATCTTGCTTGCCTTGCTCTGAATGTGTTCCTGCCTGTTTTCTGCAAACGCACGTTGCCCTAGTCCGAGCCCCTTAGGGATGTCCCCTCTGTCCTTTGGGGAACCATCCCTGTATCACACTACGGGACGCCAATGCCATGCTGACTGCCATTTTACATTGTTGACTCAGGGTTCTTGCAGGCCACTGAAACCCACCACTGCCCATCCCTGACTTAGGGGATTTAACACTTACTTGCATTACTTAATGGGAATCACCAAAAAACTAAATAAATACTAAAGACATTACACATTGCAGAGAAAGACTCATTTGAGAAATGATTTGTTCAGATATGGGCAAATAGAATGGTTATTTAAGTTAATAAGTAGGGCATACAGGGATCCTTAAAGGTCATCAAGTCCAATATTCACATTTTACGAATGAGAAAACAAAGAGGTTGTAACACCTGGAGTCAAACCCTGGTTTTCTCTGGTTCTCCTTTACCCTAACAAACAGAAGGAGTGATCTGTGGTCTAGTTCAGTCCTCTTGGGGCCCCATTGCTGGGACTGAAGAGGGGAGACCTTGGAAGAGAACCCGTTTTGCCAGGGCCTTCTCCCCCACGTGGGCTCAGGCTGGCCCAGATGGGCAGGGGAGAGCTTGGACAGCAATGAAATTGGGCATGAGGCCTGTTGGACAAGTTGTTGTAATGTTACCTTAGCCTCACTGGCTTCAAATTCAAGGCTGTTTTCAATTGATGACTTTAGCAGGCAGCCCAGTGGATAGAGGGCCAGTGCCGTAGTCCTGATGACCCGAGTTCAAAACTGGCCTCAAATTCTCACACTTGATAGTCATTTGATCTAGGGCAAGCCACATACCCTCTGTTTGCCTCAGTTTCCTCATCTGTATAAAATGGGGATAATAGGAGCACCGGCCTCCCAGGGCGGTTGTGAGGCTCAAATGAGGATCATTGTAAAGCAGTTTAGCACAGGGCCTGGGGTGAAGCAGGGGCTGTAGGAATGTTTAGGCAGGGAGCGGTAGTGCTCAGTAACCATTTTGTTCTCGGTAGTAGTATTGATATTCTGCTTTTGATTCTTTAGAATGAGTGATTATGAAGGATGTGTTTGGGTCAGTGAGGAAAAGGGAGGCAAGTATTACAATGCTGGTGAGAGCTAGCACTTCTAGAGCACTTACTAGGTGCTAGGCACACAGGAAGAGTTGGGACTCTGGAAACAGAGGCAGAAGCAGAGAATGCCCTTTGGCTGGTCATGTGTGTTTCAGTGCCCATTGCTTCTTAAAGGCCACCTGCCCTTTTGTCCTTGCAGGGAGAGGCGGCGCAGAAGGAGCCGGAGCGGAACGAGGTCACCCAAGAAGCCCCGCTCTCCAAAGAGAAAACTGTCTCGGTCCCCCTCGCCTAGAAGGTGAGTGACTTTAAGAAGTAAGGCCATAGAGGCGCATGGGCTTGGGTTGGGTGCAAAGCCTTCCTGAGGCAGTAGGGCTGGGATGGGGGTGGGGGGGTCACTCCGCCCAAGGGGGTGGGCCTAGAGCAGATCCTTAGATGGGCCATCTCACTGTCCTCTTCCCACCTGTCATCCTAGACACAAAAAAGAGAAGAAAAAAGATAAGGACAAAGAGAGGCGAGATGAACGAGAGCGATCAACCAGTAAGAAGAAGAAAAGTAAAGATAAAGAAAAAGAACGGGAAAGGAAATCAGAGAGCGACAAAGATGTCAAAGTATGTCTAGGGTGGGGTTCACCCCGAGGGGCAGGGCACACACACCTGGCCACGGTGGGGTCTCCCTGGGAGAGAGTTTGACTTTGCTTGTCCTTCTCGGCAAAGCAGGTGACGAGAGATTACGATGAAGAAGAACAGGGCTACGACAGCGAGAAGGAGAAGAAGGAAGAGAAGAAAGCCCCCGAGGTGGGCTCCCCCAAGGCCAAGGAGCCGTCTGTGGAGAAGGGCAGCGGGGATTCCCTGCGGGAGTCCAAGGTGAACGGGGATGACCACCACGAGGAGGACATGGACATGAGTGACTGAGGGGCCGCGCCCCCGCCGGCCAGCTGCGGACATGCCTCCGTGTCATTCCTCATGTGGTCTCTGTCTGCCCCGTTTGTTACCCCAAACCTAGATGTATCTAGCTCTGAGCTATAAATGGTTGTCAAGCTCCTGATCCTCCTTATTCATGGCCGGGGTGCCCTGGCTCCCCCTCCTGGGCTGGGGCTGTGCTGGTGGGCACAAATGTGACCAGCTGCATGCATCTCCAGCAGGCATGGATTGCGGATGTTGTATGATCTCTCCTCCTTTATTAAATAAGCTCACGTAGACAATTTCTAGAGTTTGATTCCTTACAGTACTAGAGCCGTATAGGGAATGCACTGATTGCATGTTAATTGTGGCAGGAATATCCTCAATGTTTCTTCCAGTCTACATCATAGAACGGAGTCTGCTTAGGGCCTTCAGTGGGTCAACATGACAAAATTAAGATTCATCATTAACATCAACAATCTCCTAGGAGCTTCGTGGCTGATTTTTCTGTGCTTTTGGTTTGGCTTTCAAAGATTAAAGATGCACTAGACTTTTTTTTTTAATTAGGCCTTTTTTTCCCCCAAAGTTTCTCTTCCCCGCCCCCCCCCCAAAAAAAATCTCTGGTAGCGAATAGCATATTTTGAAATGGAGTTCTACATTTTTCCCTAACATCTACATTGGGAGTTAAGGTTTCTTGTAATATTATCAGTGCCCATCTTTGAAACTTACTTTGTACTGATTTCCATTCATCCTGTTGTACAGTTTTTGTTATGTTTTTCTTTTGGTTCTTACTGTTTTGAACTCAGTGTTGGGGGGAGGGAAGGTAGTGCATTTTTAATTGACATTTGTATGCTTTTAAAACAATTCTTGATAATGTCCTTTTTATTTGATCTCAAGTTGTATAAACTAATAAATTTGTGTTAACTGTCCCTGCAATAGTAATCTCACACACAGTGACTCCAGGTTATATGCATAGTTAGGCAAGCCGTTTTCTTAGTTACCCAGTTCCAGAGCTTTTACTTTTGTGCAGGTAAAAACAGAAGTAGGCGACATAACAGTCTGTGCCATGTTGATGTACAGTTTCTGAAATTGTTTTACAAGACTTTGATAATAAAACCCTGAAACTTAAGCTCATGTTCCTGTAAAACTCTACTTGTATTTATTTACACTTCTGAATGTATGAAATTTACCTCATTCATCTAAGGAATTTGGTTTTTCTCTCCATGTACTTAAGCAAGGTACCAGATGACCAAGTTCATCTCTGTGGAGATTTAGGGGAGGGCATCATAAAACTCAAATTCTTTTACGTGAGGATTTTCCTCCATTTTCTTGTCACTTTTTTCCTCGTGGGAGGTGGGAGGGTGTGGAAACAATGGTGAGCTTTAATGGACTGTAGTGTTTCTCCATTAAGGAACAGCCCCAACCATGTCTGGTACATTTTATATTTTCAGTGAAATCTAAACACATGCCTTTTCTGGAATGTTATTAAATGATTAGTGTCAAGGGTGTGTATCTAGTGTACAATTCTTCAGTGACATATTTATTGAATGGTTCCATGCATATTGTTCAAGTGGGTGGCAGGGAAATAAGAGAAAAGACTTGGTGCTTTTTAAATTTTTAACCAAGTCAAAATCTAAAAATCGTTTTTAACTGCCTTTTTATCACAGGCATTTTACAGTTTGCCATATATGAAAGCAGCATCATTTTTAGAGTTTATAGAATGTAACTTTTTTTAAAAAAAGGAGTTTTGCCTATATAATATACATTGTTAGTGAGTTGGTAAATGAAGGTCCTGAGTAATCACTACTTTTGAAAATAGATAAAACTGTTAAATGTGTGACATTTACTTGGCTTTTTAAGGTGAAAATGTCAGTCTTATTAAATACTTATTCCATGCGGAAACAAGGTCCATCCAGAAACACTGTTACCGCATCCAATGAAAGGAAGAATGGAGCTCACGCGTGGCCAGTGGTTTTGACGCGTGCAGTGTGAGAAAGATCAGACTGTTATGGCTGATTACAGAGAGGGCTGCGGCGGGGCTCGTGTAAATGCAGATTCAGATACCCAGGTGAAATCAAGTGCACTGCCTCCACACTGAGCTTTGCTCTGTATTTGATAGTAAAGAGGAAAATGATTGAAGTAATAAACTGGTTTTACTAGAAGAACGTTTTGTGTTATTTATTGGCTCAAATTTATCTGGAGAACATGACATCAGTCTGTCACATTTCAGAATTTGCTTCTGAATGTGCTCAGACGTCTAGCTGTGTGAACCTGGACACATTTAACCTCACAGTGGCTGGAGCAATGGGGTCTGAAGTAAGGAAGACTTGAGTTCAAGTCCAACCTTGGCTACTTAGATACTAGGTGACCCTGGGCAAGTTACTGAACCTGCCTGCCTCAGTTCTCTCACTTTAACAAGGGGATAAGATGAAAGAACATTTATAAATCAGTCGGGTAGTACAATGCCTGGCACATAGTAGGTGTAATAAATGCTTGTTTCCTTACTATTCAATAAAGTTCAATGGCTTTATCACATAATTTCATGATTAAAGTGGTAGGTACAGCTGTCTGTGGATTGGGGTCAGCAAGATGCCTTAATCTGCTTCTTCCCTGACAGTTACTCCGGGCAAGTCTCTTGATTTAACCTCAATTTCAATACACTTCAGCTATTACTGTTAAGTCCAATACGAATGTTTTATAATCAGTCATGGCATGGAGGGGCCTGAGCTGCTCCTCGGGTTTTGTTTTGTGTTTCTTTTAATGCTAGTGAAGCTCTAGTGGGTCCCATTAAGATGGAAAGGTTTCAGATCCAGTCCAAGCATGGCGTTTACCAACCTGTCTGCCTTATTTTGGCTACCATAATTCTGGACAGGTTTCTGTTAATGAGTAGAAGGGTTGGGATAAGAGATTCTAATTTACTGATGAGAAATGAGTATGCTAAGCATGTCTAGATTTCTAACTTAAAACATCTCATATTATCATCCTAAGGGGGAAGCTGATCTATGACTTCGAGATGGGCATCTCTAGACAGGCCAATCGTGAAGTTCAGGCCATATGAAGACTTCATAGTTTTACCCAATCCACGTTGGTATACATACATTGATCAACAGAACTATCCTTGGGTCTCTGCTGCTAGTTGACAGAATATACCCTTTAACAATTAAATATCTCTTCAGAATAGCTGGTTTCCTTCCTCTGCTGCTCTGGTGCCCACAACATGCCAGTGGTTAGCATAGGCTGCCCTGAATAACCTTTCTGTTTATTCATCTGATAAGAGTGAAATGGAGAATAAAAATGAGCAAAATCTTAAGGATTCACGAGGGGAAAGGAACTTGAAATCACTGGAAAATTTAGGACTTTATTTATAATAACCAAAAAAAAAAAGTCCTTGTAGAAATGTTGCAGAGGGAACATAAGACATGAGTCCTTTCTATAACATTCTTTCACTTAAAAGGAAAAAAAAAGTGGCTGTGTCCCCCAGTGCACATTTTCCAACATTACAGAGTATTTGCATTTACAGATAAACTTCTGAAGATGACACCTTATCACCAGAACTAAACAGCTGCATTTCTTCATTCTACCAATACGAGCTAAGAGGTGCTGGCGAGCTAAAAGGTAGGTTAGCCCATGAATGACAAATGGTAAAATGCCCAAGAATTACTAAGGGCCTGGGGTCACTGGATGTCGGAAGCACAGTGAGAAGATAAACTCTAGCATTTAAAGGAAATTCAGCAAAACTTAAGAACAAGTTAACAAGCTTTCTACTTGAAGAGTGTAAGCTGAAGTCAGTGAAAAACCCTAAGGTTTGAAACATGAGTCACAAATGACTTCAAAGCACTTTTTCTAACTCCATGAAAACCAAGGTAAGATGACAAGTAGGAGGCTGCTTTAAGAGCATTTCCTATTCTGTGGGTTCAATTAGTACCTAAAAGATTGTGTTTTCCCACATTTTTATCATCACTAATAGAGTTAGGGAAGTACAATAGTGTGGCCAAAACCTCAAATGGGAAGTCGCTAGTTGTGTAATATTGGACAAGTTACTGAAGTCTCAGCCTTTCATATGTAAATGAAGTCCATTAGATTTCAACCTCAAAAACTGCAATGTTTGCTAAAGGATTTTTTTTAAAAGTTCAATAATGACTTAGTCTTAAAAATTTCATTTTACAAAAGACTGAAAGAAAATCCTATCATTTATAGACTAGACTTGGCAGATCACTAGTGGTTAAGTAGTTCTTAGGCAAAATCGTTTTATTGGGTTTTATTATTGCCATGAAATCTGTAGGTAATGAAACGGTGTTGTTCTAGAAGTCAAAGCCTCCCCGCCTTTGCAAAGTCTGTGATCTTCTCAGCTTCAAAGGGCTTCCTGGGGAGTGGGGGGATGTCCAGGCTGGAAGGGCAAGGAGACATTGAACAGGTGAGCCGATGTGAGTGAGGAGTGGACATGGCAGATGGGGACTGCTTCCTCCCATCTCCGCCTCATGTGGACAATGATGGGTGTTATCTTAAGATCGCAGCCATTCCCCAGTGCAAACTGAACTTGGCCTCACCATAAACATAAAAGGTTACTACTAATTCATTTATTCTCTTAAGGAATACAATTACTCTGATCTGAAATCTCCATTTTAAATAAACGTTAATGTTCCAGAAGTCACTGCCTAAAAACTCGGTAACACGAAGACTGTGTTGGGTAGGTATTGATTTCTCCTACGTTTTTTCTTTCAAAACTAGCAACATCTGATGCGATCAGCACTTCCTAGTGGAGATAGTTAAGTTCCAGTAGAGGGCGTTTCTACACCACACCAAGCAAGGAATCCACAGGTCCAAACAATGTTCTTACATGACTATACTCAAAGCCTTCTCTCCATCCTCCCCACTTCCTCCACCCAGATAGAACTCGGAGGGAAAAGAAATGAACTGGTATTTGTTACTCTAACCTATCTCCTAGGGAAAGTCACAGCCAAACTCCCGGCTCTGTAGCCGCCTGTAGCTCGGACACCAGAAATGCTCAATTGTAGCAGGTGCCAGGTCTTCACTGGATCACTTATTTGTACGTGTGTCACTGAGACTTCCACCCTCCTGATTACTGCGGATGGATACTGTCAGCTGGAAGCGCACCTTCAGTACCGGGAAGAGAGGGATGGATCAATTACCCCTGACGATTTCTGTGCTTTCGACTGAAATGCTGCACACAGCTGGGGCACAATATTTTCTGGTAAAGACAATTTGTCAATACTCCCTTCCAGCATTATGTAAACAGCAAATCCTAGTTTTAAAATATTCAATGCCACGTAAAAAACAAACTGTCCTATGCGCACTACCAAAGGAATATAGTGTTTTAATGACTTCACCTGAAACAGTACTTATGCGCTAAACGAATTTAAAAATCACATTCCTGAAAATCTGTGAAATACTGTGAAAAGTTTATTGGCATCAGAGTTGATTCCTAATAGTTGCCATTGGAAGAGGTATGGGGGCATTTGTTTGTCCTTTGTGACTGGGAAGATGACAACACAGTGGAATGGAGAACTTGTGTTTCTTAAAAAGTACAAATGTGTGCAAAAAAATTCTAAGTGCAAAAATATTCAGTAGTTTTTCCACCTCCAGTGCACCCCAGTAAAATATTCACAGCTTTCAGGAGATACTGACCAAGCCCACACTGTGATTAAATGAGATATGATTCCTCCCACCCCCCAATAAATTACAGGACTTCATGTAAGATTGTACATACTAACCGAGGGAAGCTAAAGTCACCCTGTCACCCGCTCCACCTCCCCGGTGGTCGACCTTGACGAGACAGGATGATTCCCAGCCCAAGCCCATGACAGCTGACAGGGAGACAGGCTGAGAAAAATAAAGTAGGACTACAATTCATACCCATTCCCCGAGGTCTAAGAAGCCACATACAACAATAATTATCATTTTAAAAATTTAACCATGAATACTTTTTCTGCACTATAAAAATTATTTCCTTTCTTAATATTAAAACATGAACATATATGCAAAGTCATATACATTGATATGGAGAAAGCAGCCTTAGAGATCCTTGTAAAAAATTTCCTCTCAATAGTGTTGCTTCTGACTTTCTAAATGCATCTTCTATTTCATGTCATAAACCTGCTCTGTAAACATCAGCTTCCTGGTAGGTCACTGTGGAAATGCAATAGAACACATTCAGCCTTCTGGTCTTTGACACTTCCCACACCGGCGGCACAGGACACAGGCTAGGTAAGGCTGTGCAGCTGTTTTGGTCCAGTGTTTGGTTTTTGCAGAGATCCTCTTGGAATAAAGGCTAAAAACCTCAGGATAGTGTGAAATCAGCAAATCTGACTTTGTAACAAACAGGTGACTTGTTCTGGAAATCCTGACAAACTTATTTCATGATCTAAACAGTAGACAGATATGAACACCTCGGTAAATGAACACATTCCAACTATTTCCAATTAATGTGGGCCCCCTCAAAGAGGCTGAAATGCAGGTCATATGAAAGAACCGACAGGTGCAGCCTTAAGTACACAAGTCACCAAGGACACGTTTATATAAATCACATTACCTGTAGCTAAATCCTCTAAAATATACTTCACACTGTGTGACTGTCAGACATAATTTTTACTAATTTATTTTCAACTTTGGACCTTCAACCAACTTGGAATAATAAATAGGAAAGATTTAAAATGCAAAACTGAGAATCCATGATTTGAACACCAGGAGACAAAATAAATCAATATATTTTCCTTTAAGTGGCTTAAGAAAAAAAAAAGATGAAGTAGGAATTGTCATGAAACTTAAGTGTACATTTCTAAAATTTAACAAATGAATTTTATATATTATATGAAACACTTATATACCCTATATTCAAAACGCTTGATATTGTGAGGGTATATTTTGAGAGTCTTAAGCTTGTGGTTTTTTTTCTTTTTTTAAGACTGTGACACTTCTCAGTTCACCCTTCACCCATCCTAGCCACAAACAAGGCTGCCAGACGCATGGGCTCTGAACGGGGAGTCAATTTCAAACCTCGTGAATTCCTTTTTTTGAAAGTGCTAGAATTTGTCAGATGAACATTTATAAGCATGCTAACCAATACTTTATCATGAACATAGATTAGAAAAGAAAATTAGAGACTCTATGGAAGAAAGATTAGTAAGAAACATTTTCCACTTGAGAATTCAGATAAAAACATGAATAGCACCACACAGGAGTTGCACTAAGGTGCTAAAAAAGGAGGTACCGTATTCCCTGCAGAGTGAATGCTAGTTCTGAAATGTATTGCAATGTGAAAATGCAACTGTTTAATGGTCACCATTTGGTTCGTTCATCTACAGAAAACTGCATTCCTTCCAGGTCGTTATCTTCAACAACATTCAAGTGACTGAACCAGACATAATGTGACACACTTTACAACGGGTGAAAACCAAGCTTGAAGGATATCTGCCATCTCGAATATAAGATGACAAGTTTAAAAGGACTTCGATCTCTATTAAGACATCTCACCTGTTAAAATGTTAATGGTCCAGGAGTGTTTTCTTTATACGCTAAATCCGCTTATCGCCCAGAAGTGTAAAAAGGTGTAAAAACCAACCAGAGCCCCCCAGCTGGCTGACATCCCGACTCCTCACAATCACCGAGGTGTCCAACTACCAAGCTCACAACATGTGTATTTCAAAAAGGCGGACAGTGGCGCCCATCAGGTCACGCTGGACAGCCAACTGATGGGCTCCTTCAGTGGATTCCCCTTTGGACAACGGCCCACCTGCTTTCAGCGGTGAGCTGGTGGTACTGTTCCAGGCAAGTCAAAGATCAGGAAACCGGCTCGGGTCCTCCTTGTAGTCATCAGGAATCGTGAAGATGCATTCGTCAAACTCATCATATCTAAACTCCTGAAAAGTCACAGTGGCTGTGATGGTGGGAAACACAGGTATATCTACAGAGGAGAGGAAATGGACAATGGCCAGGACACGGACAGCTCAACAAGCATCCCCAGCCCTGGAGGAGAGAGCTCTGCGCTGAGCAAGCACTCCGGCCTCTCAGCGGCATCCCATCCTCTGCAGCAAAACAGACAAGCGAGCGCTACTTGTGCACCAAGAGATGTCCATGCTTTGAACTCAGACCCCCCACTCCCACCCCAGCAGGAATTCTTCCGGAAGACCCTGTTTCACAGAGCCTCCGACTGGTAAGTAAGAGAGTCGGGCTTCCCTGTCAGTCACTCGCACCGATTCACCTCCCTAGCACTAGGATGGCAACCTTACAGGGCAGCACCTCTTTTTTCATCTTGTGCCTGGCACAGAAGGAGTACTTGGTCCATGTATTTATCCTTCATTCTATGGATGAAAGGGCCCTACAAAGTCAGCTTCAATGGACAGAGGAGGAGAATGGCGAGGACAGTCACCCATGACCAAAGACTTCCAATGGAAGCCCATTCCATGCCTCTGCAGTTCCCACTGGTTGGAAGGCTTCCCTCCCAATGAAGAGGAATCATCATTCCAAGTTCCACTCCCCAGGATCTAGCACAGTAGACTCCATCCTTCTTCCATCACCGCTCTTGAAGACAGCTGTCAAGCGCTGCACATTTTTCTCTTCTCCAGGTCAGCCTCGGTGCCCTCCTCTGAGCACACTCTGGCTTAACACCATGTCACTCATCAAAGAATGAGCCGCTCCCCAAAAGGCTAATGTCTTAAGTCACTGAGTCAATCCTGACTTACACGAGCTATCCCTTCACACTCTTTTCGTTCTTTTCGATCCTATAATGCTCCTCGATGCCCTCCACAGTACTTCCCTCATCACCCCTGAAGCCCTGGGCCTGGAAGAGAAAACGGATCCCTCTCCCCATTTCCAAACCTCAGAGTCTCAGTAAATCCTCCTCCTCCCAGGTTTAGTCTATCCAATTTTATAAGCCCACGTAACTCTTTGTCACTGTCATGTACCAAATTTTCCTGGTTATTTCCCTTTTCCTTCAAGAAGTTCAGTGTCAAGCCCAGTGTTTCTCTCCAACCTACTCCCCCAGCTCTCATACTTGGGACTCCAACACAGGTGAGCGTCCTCGTGGACCCCCTGGCTTCCTAAACTCCACTGAACTCAGTCTTTCATTTCTGCCACACAAAGGGATAAACACAACTTTCAGCTAATCATCCTCATGACTGTTCCATCACCATAACCCAGAGGTCAAAAATTCTTCTCTCCAACTAAAACCTCTTGTCCTTCCACCTTCCTCCTCTCCCTGCCTGCCCCTCCAGCCCCCCAACCTCCAACTTCTAGTTCCTCCTCACATTCCCGTCTATCATCCCTGCACCTAAGGCACACCTAACCTTTTCTTCCCATTCTGATGAGTTCCAGCATACACTGTCCAATAACCCCTGAAATCTCTTGGCCCTCTCCTATCTCCTTGTCAAACCAAATCTGGGTTTCTCCACCTTGGAAACTGACTTCACTACAAACATTATTTCATCTCAGCTGTTCAGTCCTTTTATTCTGATCAGACCCTTTATCACATTGTTCTCAACCACTATTCCCAGCCTGTTCCCTCTTTCCTCAGACCTTCTGTACCAACCTTCCTGTTACTTAATGAGAGGGAAGCCGTCATAACCTCTCCCTCTCCATGACTCCCCCCCTCAAAACCTGTCTTCATCATCCATTCTCTCCACCTCGCCCTTGGAGGTGGACTTTCTTGACAAGGCTTTTGATTTTTCTGCTCTTCTTTTCTCTGGCAAAGCTTCCCCCTTTAATAATGCTATTTCTTGCTTTCAATCCCATTGCACTCTTTTCTTGCTGCCTACAAAGTCACCAAGGTCTCCCATGCTTAAACCTAAAAACCCTTGATCTGACACCCAGCCATTTTTTTTTCTTTTTTGGGGCTAGGCAATGGGGTTAAGTGACTTGCCCAGGGTCACACAGCTACACAGCTAGTGTTATGTGTCTGAGGCCGGATTTGAACTCAGGTCCTCCTGACTCCAGGGCCGGTGCTCTATCCACTGCGCCACCTAGCTGCCCCCCAACCATTCCCTTAAGGCATAGGCCTGTGTCTTCTCTCTTTCACATTCCAACTTGCAGGCAGAACACCTCCTCCTCCTGTCTCCATCCCCTCTGATCCCTTGCAATCTGACTTTCTAAGCCAGTGCTTGACTAAGACAGCTCTCTACTAGGGAACAAGAGACCCCCATTTTGAACTCAATGTCCTTTTCTCAGTTTCCGTGCTTCCTGACCTCTCGGCAGTTTTGACCCTGTGACTTCAGCCCCTCCTTCTGGACACACTAGACACCACTCTTCACTTCTGTACCTGGGCCCTCTCTTGTTCCTTCTCTTGGGCGTCTCACTCTCCTTGTCGATGTCTTGTCTCCTTCAACACCATCCCAGCTGACCTGTCCAGTGCTTAGCACAATGCCTGGCACAAAGTTCAGTAGATGTTTGTTGACTTGACCACTCCTGATTCCTTTGCAGGACCTTCCTGCGAGGCGGATCTGCTCCCTTGGGTGTTCTTGAGGCCCTGCCCAAGTCCTCTTCTCTTCTCCAGCTCCATTATTTCTCTGCCTTCTCTCACTCAAGAAACGACCTTGGACTCATTTCCATGCACACGTACTGTACCTCATACCTGTAAAGTCTTTGGGGGCATCCTTTAGCTTTGTGTTCTTCAAAACGAGGAGCTTAATGAACACCGACTAAACTGAACCTGAGGTGGTGAGGAGGCGCTCGCTACTCATGTACAGCCTTCAGTGAGCCTCAGCTCCGAGGGAGAGCCCCGCTTTTCCTTCTGATTTTGAAATAAATCAAAATCTACTTACTAGAGTACAGAATGACCCTTGTAAAATGTTGGGTGGTGGTCAATGCTGAAATTTATTTTGCTGGACTATCTGAAACACATTTGGTTGTTTTTCCTTATCTCAACTGAGGATGTCAGGAGTGGAGGGAGAAGGTAGATTTTTTGCAGACTAAAAATATAAATGTATGATTTTAAAAATCTACTTGTTATATAATTCCTACCCTTTGATCTAACTCCTATTCTCTGGTTTAACAGTCAATTTAACACTGATTCCACATATCACCCTTCCAAATCTTGGGATCTCATCACCTCCCACAGATTCACTAATTATCTTTCTGCTGATATGTCTCCAATCTACTTATTTAGTCCTGCCTTCTCTCCGGACCTGCAGGCTCACATCCGGCCAGCAGACTTCTTACATTCAACACGTGCAAAAGGGACCTCATCTTCTTTACTCCAAACCCTCCCCCTCTTCCAAGCTTCCCTATTCCTACTGAGGGCAGCAGCATCCTTCCCCATCACCTAGGCACACAACTCCTCACTCCCTCTCACCCCTGCCATCTCTGTTGCCACATCTCCTCTCTGTTCCTTTTTCTCCTCTGACACTGTCTCCAAGCTGGTTCACCAGGCTTCCTACCTTCAGACTCGACTCTGGTCTCTCATCCACTCAGCTCTCAGGGATCTTCCTAAAACACAGGCCTGACCGCGTTGCCCTTCCCCTACTCCACAAACCCCAGTGGCTCCCTATCACGACAGCCCTACCTGGCATCTTCCTACCATTGCAGCTCCTTACGCCTTACTGCCCCCAGGAACGCCACACTTCAGGGCCAGCGCCTTCCTTGCTGTCCGCCACACAAGGCACACTCTGTATTGCCCCAGGCCGTTCCCACATCTGGACCGCTCTCCTTCTCCTGTCTGCCTCTCGCTTCCTTCAAGTCCCAGCTGAACCCCATCTTTGGCAAAAAGCCCTTCCCAGTCCTCCTCAGCGTCAGTGCCCTCCCTCTCTTGGTTATTTCAGATGTATCCTGTATAGGCACTGTGCGTAGACGGTCTTGCCCCATCAGACAGAGAGCACCTTGAAGACAAGGGCTGCTTTTGTCCTTTTTTGTGGGGGGAGGAGGAGGTGGTCTCCTGGCTCCAGACTCCACACAGCACAGCTATCAAACTGACATTCCTAAAACCAGTATGAACATGTCACCATCCTCCTAAAAACATATGGCCCTACAGCCTCTAGGATAAAATACTAACTGCTGGATTCACTATGGAAAGCCTTCCCCCATTTCTCCATCCAGCCAGTTCCAACCCAACAGCCCTGTTGCATCTCTCCCGTCAGTCTTCAAGCTCTATCACTTTGGAAATGATCACCCACCTGTGGGATGTGCACCCACCTAACCTTCACTCCTCCCAAGGACGGCTGAGGGGACACCTCCCACACAAGCCCCATTTTCTTTCTCAAGATGTTACTTAGGATTCACTTACATGCACCCCTCCTGTATCCTGGTTGCCCCCAAGATGGAACATGAGCTGCTTGAGGGGGACAAACTAGACGTGCTACATTATCTAATGTTCTTCTTAAATTCCTGCACCTAGAGGCAGCTAGGTGGCGCAGTGGATAGACCACCGGCCCTGAAGTTAGGAGGACCTAAGTTCAAATCCAGCCTCAGACACATAACACTTACTAGCTGTGTGACCCTGGGCAAGTCACTTAACCCCGACTGCTTAAAAAAAAAAATTCCTGCACCTACCCACACCTAAACACAATTCTACCCATTAGTGCATGGTGATCAGCAAAGTGGGATAGTCCTTAACGAAAACAGCCATGCTGACATGCATCAGAAGAATTAGCAGAAGTGTTTAGGACATGTCATCATCTCAAAGTATCACTGCAAACACTGTCATTACAAAGGGAAATAGTTGTCTATAAAAACTTTCATTTCCCAGTTTGAAAGTACAGATGGGCGTGTTTAATTTTTAATGAGGAAAACCTCTCTTTGACAGTATAAAAAAAGTTATAAAATAAATTATTTTAAATACAAGGACAGATAAATATTTTTTATGCTATATCACTATGCTTCCAATTGTTAGTAATCAATCTGACAATCTACCTCTCAAAAATACAAATTCATTTCATTAAGGCAATAAGGTTATTAGCGTGAACACCCTCTTACCGAGCTTTACAGGAAAGCCGGGAGGAAGCTTCATCTGAACAAATTCTCTAAGCTTGTTAAAGTGCTTGAAGGGCGCAATGACTTCTAAAACATTCAATAATCTGGAAGAAAGGGCAGGGAAAAGAAAAACACTTTTAACAATTTCTCAGGTTGATACACCTCTGCCTAAAATCAAACTAATAAGTCTCTCATTTGTCAGTCAGTTCTTTTGGAACTTTGGTCATTGTTCAGTGGTCTGAGCTGTAGTTTATTTTTACTAAGATTTAATTTTAAAGGCCAAAAAAAAAAAAGCCAAAACTAAGAATTCATTCTGCACACAATCTCCATAACCCTTAATAAATTTCTGCAGTTAGGAATTTCAACTTACAATTCAATTCCTAAGGGAAATTCCTGGCTCATGGCTATTGTGGCTTTAAATGTTTTCTTACTTTCTTTGCAAACAAGTTCTCTACCCAGATGAGGAGCTCTACAATGGAAAGGAAATAAAACAATAAAACAATTAATTTTGTCAACAGAATATTTTCACCCTACAGAAAGATTCCTATAATATTCTATTATGTTCACTGTGTTAATAATGCATTTTAGAAATCTTTTTAAATGACATTTTAAAATGTGCTGAAACACTAAATTAACAAAACTAAAATCAATTGTCTAGAAATTCCCAGTTCTAAATATTCCATGGAGGTTTCACAGTTCTCAATAACCCTACATTTCCCAATACATGAGGCCTCTATTTGAAGAGGATCACATTGCCTCTTGTATAGAACAGGAATTGCATCTCTCTGCCCCATGTGAATAATCCCCAGCATTAATTTAATTTTTCCAATTCATGAATCAGAATAATCAATGACCCCCAACTTCTTGGAGGATGACCTAGGAGCCTAAGTCAGTGAATTCTGGATCTTTTCCTGCTCATTTGGAAGTGATTAAGTTGTCTGAAATATAATAGATGATGCAATTAACCAACATTATTTTTTTTTCCTTGCTAATCATGTTGGTTAAATTCTAGTAAGAGAGAAATAATGAAGTGAGGAATTCAAACAGGAGAGTTTTGATGGCCTATGAACTTTAACAGGTCAGGTTAACACTGGTTTCCTTTCACCAGGAAAAGATACGCTGTGCTGAAGTACTCTTTTCCAATTTACTGACAGTATGACTCTTACACAAATGCATGGCAAGGGATACATTAAGCAACTGCTAATACTGTCAAAATCTAAATGAGAGCGTACGCGAAGCCGGACTGGGACCAGACTCCAGGACGGCCTCGTGTGTCGACTGGCACCCACACACCCCCCCCCGCTTCTTGTGGCCCATCACCCAAGTCACATGAGCTTCTCTGCTTGCCCTTTCACCCTGATGACCCCTCAAGTTGGAGCCCCACAAAACGCCCTTAGGTCCTTTCTCACATCCCCCCCCAACAAGCCCCAGATCTCTACACAGGTAGGGAGCTGAGAGGTCACTTGGTGCAATCTGAGCCTCCTAGCCAACAGGTGGCGACAATGGATTTCCAACCCCTGCCACAAGGCCCCCAAAGATGTATATCACTGACTTTTACACTTATTATTATCTTAGTCGATTCGCTCAAGCTTAGTGACACCCGCCCCACAGGCGTCTATGAAGTTCCTCCTGCATGCCAGGCACTGCACCAAAGAGGCAGTAGTGTCTACTCTCCAGGTTCTGACCTTCTCCTGGGGGAGCACAAAAATCCTTTTGGATTCCAACTCTCTTCTCTAAACCACTGACTATTCTCAGCTTCAGTACCTTGTACAACCAACAGGTGGCACAATGGACAGAGCTGGCCTGAAGTCAGAAAGATCCGAGTTCAAATCCGGCCTCAGACACTAGCTGTGTCTTCACCTCTACCTGCCTCTGATTCCTCATCTGTAAAACGGGGATCATGATGACACCTGCCGCCAGGGCTGCTGCGAGGATCAACTGAAATCGTATTTGTAAGAGTGCACTGAGCGCAGTGCCTGGCACAGGACAGGCCGTTAACAATGCTTGCTGACTAAACAGCACCGACCAGTCTGACGTGCACACGAAGCCCTTCTTTTTACAGACAGGAAACAAGCGACTTCCCAAAGGTCACAAAGCCAGCCAAACCCCCATAAACCTCTGGCAGGACCCGCTTGCTTGCCACTGCCTCCTGAAGACCTGAGCCCCGAGGCCAACTCCTTATTCGCTCCACTCAACAGTGCCACGCCCTGCACTGACTGTGAGGAAAGAAATCCAACCATAAACCGAAAATCTGGGGGACAGATGAGGCTACTGACTTTTAGGAAAAAAAATCTGGGGGCAGCTAGGTGGCACAGTGGATAGAGCACCGGCCCTGGATTCAGGACAACCTGAGTTCAAATCCGGCCTCCGATACTTGACACTTACTAGCTGTGTGACCCTGGGCAAGTCACAACCCCACTGCCTAGCCAAAAAAAAGAAAGAAAGAAAAAAACAAATCTGAAAAGTTGCTTCACTTGTGTATCCTTGAGTCCAAAGCCGCCAAGTGTTCAACAGAATACTTACTTTCCATTCTCAGCAGATATGTACTCTTCCCAGGTAATTGTGTTAGGTGGGGGTGGAGTCAGAGACTGTCTTCGGACAGGCTGCAACAGAAAATGGGGGTGCAGGTGAGAAGCGGCCATGACAGTCAGAAAAGAGAACACAAGGGAGCCTTGGCTTGTCTCTCTGCTTTCCCCGACAGGCCTACAAGCCTAGACAAACAGGTCTCCTGCCAACCAGCCTGGGGCTCACTGACACTGGGGAGGAGAGGATGAAGGGCTGTTTCAGGTATTTTTGACACTAAAATGTTCTCTTGGAAGCCCTACCAGTAACATATAATCAGCAAGGCTACTCCTGGGGGAAGAGGAGGGCAGCTTCGGACAGGAGTATCCAGAGATGGCCGAGGGGACAGAACTCTCTGCTGTCCAGAGACTGAGATCTAGTCTGGGTAAGGGAAGGCAGAGACGTACAGAAAGACAGACAAAGGAATAACCTCTCCATAACAAAACTAGAAGCCAGAGGAAGAACAAAGTACTAGAATGAAGCTCATTTTTTTTAGCCTGGACACCAAAGGAAGGGAGAATCTCTACTAAGGAAATGAAGACTGAAAAAAGGTCACTGAGTTTGACTAGATCAACTGGGGACTTCTTAGGGAAAGAGCAAAAAAGCTGGACTGTGAAGGGCAGTACGACGAGTGCCAGCCAGGAGTGTGAGCACAAGAGTTAAGCCAAACATCCTCAGGAGAGGAGAAAACTGCACATGCCAAAATACAAAGGAAAGAACCTTTGGAGAGTTTGGAAATGCTAAACCATGAATGAGGCTCAGAGGAAGTTGTCTGTGAAGCAAAATTAGCAGGGACTAAAAGGAGCCCTGCCCAGGAGGCCTCATGCCTGTAATTCACTCAGCAAACATTTACGAAGTGCCTGCTGTATGCCAGGCAGATAAGCACTCAGGATACAGAAAGAAGCCAAAGACAGACCCTGCCCTCAGAGAGCTCACAGTCTGACGGGCAAGACAGCAGGCAAACAAGAATATACCAGGTGAGCTGGGTATGAGATCAACAGAAAATAATCACCAGAGGGAAGGCCCTGAACAAGGCTTCCTGCAGCAGGTGGGACTTCAAAGAAACCAGGAAAGCCAAAGGAAAGAAGAGAAGGGAGGGGAGGGGGGTGTCCTGTGTGTGTGTGTCTCTGTGTGTCTGTGTGTCTGTCTGAAGGAGGGTGGAGATAAGAAGTCTGGAAGGGGGAAGGGTAGGTCAGGTAAATGACAAACAGGTTAGGTAAAGTCACATGCCAAAAGTAGGGAGCACTGGTAGAATTTAGGACTACCCTAGGAAAACAAGGAGCAACCGGTGTGAGATGGTAGAGAGGGGCAAGTCTAGAGTTGATGCCTCACAATTAAAGCTGTCTCAAAGCTGAAGTCTTGGGTTCCTGCTCCTCAAAGGCCTATCTGACTGGTGAATCCCTTCAGGTAGGGGCTGCCCAGGTGGCTGATGAGCTATCTCCCACCTGTCAACTCGTCCATTTCTGTGATACTAACACTAACCTTCCCTTTGTAAAAGAAAGAAGGAAGGCGGGACTACATCAAAGCAGGCACTCCCGGAAGAAGCAAAGCAAAACTGGATGTGGTCAGTTGTGATGTACATCTGTGGGCAACAGCTGTGTTTGCAAAACATAACTGCAGCTTAAGCATGAATGCCAGTGCAAAGAAAGAAATACAGAAGTACTATAAAGAATTCAGTAAAACCCTGCAAACTAAGTCAACGTACTTTCTAATACACAATGCCTTAGCACAAAGGTGGGAACGGTATGTAAAAGCGCGGCTCCAGCACAGCGACTTGAGCTCAGACCCCACAAAACTCTCGATGCCTTCACATCTCGAACACTCTGAGAAGAGAACTTGGATGCACTGAACAACATCACAAACAAGAAAGCGATTTCACTGGAAGAGACGGGAAAATACTACTACTCGAGTAAAAGTTATCCTCTAATCAACCCTTTTGTGTGCAGACGACCAACCATTCAGGACAAAGATCACGAAAAGAACAATAGAGAAAAAGGCACAGCATGATTACAACTAAATAAGTGAGAATGACCCCAGCAGAAATGACCCCAGGACTGATTAATCAATGTAAACCTACTGACTCAGCAAGAAGATCCCAAAAGCCCCCCAACGTGGCAGCTAGCCAACAACTCACTTACTTGCCAAGAGGCAATCGTGGCCAAAAGTGACACCAGTTTAAAATAACTAGGAATGACAATGATTGTGACCAGTATCATCAAAATGTAAGTGAGTCTGTTCCCTGGAGCTGCCCAAACATGCCTCACTGCCACAGAGACCTCCAGCTTCGTGTCCATAGCCAAGCCAAACACCAAGGAGTGGAATCCACCAAACCCAGGCGAGAAGGAGGAAACAAAGATCCCAGTGAACTGTGAAGCTCTGCACTGCTGTTTCATTAGTTAGTTCTGAAAGAGACTGGCTCTTCCTCTCTTGCTTAGGCTAGAAATACAGGCAGCCCTCACCCCAGAGGTGCTAGCCCTCCTGAACACCCCATACACCCCAGTATAGGTAGGCACTGAACAAAATAACTGCTGGGTGCATAAGAGAACGAAGAATCCCAGGATGGACAAGGTGGACAGAGCTCTGTGGGGGCAGCACTAGAAAGAGTATTTCATGACAGTACGACAGGCAAGGCAGCAAAGATTTAACAACACTGCACATTATGTTTGTGATAAATGGCAAGGTAATTTTTTTTAATAACAAATTGTTCAATAGCAAAAATGAACTCAAAAGAAAATGCCAAGACTAAATTCTTGATTTATGGGGACTATTTCCCCTTTTTTAAATGTCGACTACATAAAAAGGCTGAAGTTAGAAAGAAAACAAATAATACATGAAAAGCAAAGAAAATTTAAAGAATTTAAAATTTCACTGTTATCCAAAGGTTATACTCTCTTGCCTGACAGCATGACAGGACGAAGTCCACTTTGCTCATTATACCTCGAAATTCTGCTCCATTAAGTTTCCGCCTTTACTTAAGCTCTCCACGATGGCCTTATTCCGAAGAATGTCCTCTTCACTGAGGTGTTCTCTCCTCTTTCTGGATTCTAAAACAAGCCCATTCACCAGGTAGAAGTAGGCCAAAAAGTTTCCCACCCTTTCCTAAAACAAAATCACATTTTTAAAAAGTTAAGAACGTCTACACTAAAAGGAATCTTCAACAATTACATCATTCATTGAAAATCATGTGAAATTGAAAGCTTCATCCTTTGGATCCTAATAAAGAAAGTACACTAGAATTTATCAACTTCAGATTTTAGATGAGATTTAAAAATAAACACAACCTCCTGAGGCGGCCTTAAATGTGACAGCTACTCAGGAAATTAGTAATATTATTTTAAAAGTACCAACAGCTAGAAAGAAATAAAAATAGCATGGGAAACTGCCTGACTCCTCCTCAGGCTCTTGCTGGTTCATCATCTGCACCAGTCTGTTATCTGGTGACCTCATCAGCCACTTTCCAGCCCTCCCACCTGATCTGAGTTCAGCCGCCTGGTGGCTATTCCAGACCTGGACAGCTGGTAGATAGCTCAAATTCAACATGTCAACAATGAATGTGTGACCCCCCTCCAAAGTTCCCTCTGCTTCTGAAGACCGCCATCCTTCCGCTCACTCAGTCATCCTGGTGGTCTCTCTTCCCCTTCTCCCCCATATCCAATCAGTTGCCAAAATCTTCTCTCTCTCCCCACCATCTCTCCAAACCACAGACACCAAGTTAGTGAGCAGCAGGCGAATCCAGGACATAAAAATGCTACTGAATAATTAACTAGGGAAAACAAGTCTTTTTTGTCACTTTGAGGGGGGAAGAGGAGCTACAAGACTTATCTTCTTAACTTCCAATAATGCCACCCACAACGGAATCACAAGTTCTATCCTTGTGGTTTCCAGAAGCAGTTGGAAGGATCAAACTTTGCCAAATCACCATCAGTTGAAGACAACCATGCCCCTCCCCTCAATTCTATCACAGAACACATATATCCTTATCCATGCGGCCTCCACATAACTAATCACTATAACTCTGTCCTGGTAGCAGGATTACAACGCAAAGAGTGTAAATTTCTTAAAACTGGTTCCGTCTGCTTCCAACTTCGTGACTGATAAAAGCTTAGGCAGAACAAAAGACAAATGGTTTTATTAAAGATGCAAAATGTTTGATTCACACATACTGTTTTGTCTTCCCGGAAAAGCCATCCTGTTTGGGCACGTGTGAAAGTGATGGATTTGGTTGATAAAGTTGCGGAATAAATATCACTGCTCATTAAAATGTCAACTTCTTCCTCTGTTTCCATCTCTGATTCCTTAAAGAAAAAGAAAAAGAAATCTTGTAAATTAGATTTTATAATATGTAGGTACTTAGAAATCATTACATGTTATCACTATCAAATATTTTTAAAGTTTTCTGTTTGTTTTCCCAGGAAATAAAAGGGAAGAGAAGAAAGCAGATACCATGGGGAAAATTCCTTTTAAAAAATATTTTAGTTTTTTAATTACATGTAATAACCATTTTTTAAACTTTTTTTAAATTCTGAGTTCCAAATTCTCTCCGTTCCTCCCTCCTACACACTCTGCCTTACTCTCTAAGACAACAATTAATTACATATAGACATGCAGTCATGCAAAACATATTTCCAAATTAGTCATATTGTAAAAGAAAGCACAGACCCCACCCCCAACACACACACACACGCGCGCGCAAGCTCACAAAATAAAATTAAAAAGAATGCTTGGATCTACCTTCAGACTCTATTAGTTCTTTCTCTACAGAGGGATCTTGTATTGCTGAGAAAATCTAAGTTATTCACCCTTCTTCATCATACAATATTGCTGTTACTGTGTACAATGTTCTCCTGGTTCCGCTCACCTCACTCTGCATCAGATCCTGCTCATCACTCCTTACAGCACAATTACATTCCGTGACAATCATACAGCACAGCTTCTCTGGCCATTCTCCAATGGATGGGCATCCCTTTGATTTCCAATTCTTAACCACCACAAAAACAGCTGCTATAAATATGTTTGCACATATAGATCTTTTGGGGGCAGCTAAGTAGTGCAGGGGATAGAATGCCAGACTTGGAGTCAGGAAGATTCATTCATCTTTGTGAGTTCCAATCTGGCTTCAGACACTTACCAGCAGTGTGACCCTGGGCAAATCACTTAACCCTGTTTATATCAGTTTCCACATCTGTAAAATGAGCTAGAAAAGGAAATAGCAAACCACCTAGTATCTTTGCCAAGAAAACTCCAAATGTGGTCATGAAGAGTCAGAAACAACTGAAAAATGACTGAACAACAAAAGGTCCTTTTCCATTTTTTTTTTTAAATGTCTTTGATATACAGACCTAGTAATGCTAGTGCTGGGTCAAAGAGTATTGCACAGTTTTACAGCCCTTTGGACAGAGTTCTATTCTAAATTGCTCTCCAGAATGGCTGAATCAGTTCACAACTTCATTGTGCATTATGGTCACAATTTTCCCACATCTCCTCCAACATTTCTCATTTTAGTTTTCTGTTCTATTAGCCAATCTGAAAAGTGTGAGACGGTACTTCAGAATTTTAATCTGTGTTTCTCTGAGTGATTTAGAGCATTTTTTCACCTAACTAGAGATAGCTTTGTTTTTTTCATCTGAAAACTGTCTGTTTATATCCTTTGACCATTTATCAACTGTGGAACGACTCATATTTTTATAAATTCAACTCAGTTCTTTAGATACTTGAGAAATGAGGCCTTTATCAGAGAAGCTTGCTGTAAAAATTTCTTTGCGTGGGAAAATTCTAAAATGCTGATACTCAAGGCTCATAATTACAACACAATTATAAAAGTTTAACTTTCAAGTAGTTCAGTGTGACAAAAACTCCCAGCTGAAGCTACAAAATAAAGACCATTGAACAAGTCTTTCTTCTCCCTGCTAAAAGTTTAAAGTAGGGCTCATTAGCCTTTAAATCTACGTATAACTATATATACCTAATAAAACTACTGAAGATTATGTTGATGCTGATTACTTCTATCCAGATTTGTAATTTCATCAGCACAGGAAATGTCCAGTTAGGAAATTCCTTCAAGAAATACAAATTATATAGCAAACATATAAATAGCACTTATACATCACTTTAAGGCTTACAAAACTTTGCCAAAATCTCCACTTTTGTTTCCTTCTGCCCAAGGGCTCATCCAGTGTCTCTGACACTAGGCAGGGGTTTAATAAATTCTTATTGATCTAAATGTCCAGAGAGCAGATAACGTGTAAGTTAGGCCATCGCCTCACACTCACCTGATACAAAATGAAATCATCCCTTCTTTCCCAAATACCACCACAGCCCCTGCTCCACAGCCCCTGCCAGACACAGGGAGGGATCCAGCTCGCAGCTCACGGCACCAGCCTTTTCCCAGTCCCCGAGGGCAGGAAACATGGCCATATCCCTCACACTTTCCCTGCTTTAGCTCCCACAGCCCATTTAATTTAAGCCCAGGGCTTTCTTCCTGAAAAGGTCTCAGATTCTGTTTTTCCTACCTGCTCCCACTGTCATTACCCAGTGGAGATCCTGTTGACAAACTTTCTCTTAACTCATCTTTTGGCATTATGGGTTTCCCTCCATTCTCTACCACAGAATGTCAGTAAGACAGATGTCTTTTCATGTGGGGAAATCCAGAAAGAAAAATATAGAGACTCTGAGTAAAGACCAGTGTGAGCAAAAATAGAAAGAAAACTGTTGTATTACCAGAAATGGGAAAGGATGAGGAGCTCACCAAACCAGCCTGGCGTGGCAGGCAGTTACAGTCATGCCAGAGGAGAAACTACTTAGAAACATGCTGGAGCTCTCTCTTGCAAAAGCAGAGCAGCAAATAACGGCTTGACTGGCCTTGAGCATAATGTCATCCTCTCCCAAAATGGAAGGCAGGGCAGAGAACTTCTGCTTTGAATGTTATTCTCACTGAGAAGGAAGGCCTAGTTGCTAGGGATGGAAATGAAGGCAACCTCAGGGGAAAGTGGTCGTTTCATAGGACAACTTCTTGCAGACATACACACCAGACACTGAGGGGGACAAAGAGAGGCAGGAGGAAGAGGAGAGAAGAGTACACCTAGATACATACTCCATGTTCACTCACACACACACACACACACACGTCAACAGATACAAGGAACAGGGAATGGATAAAACAAAAGGAGATAAAACGCTCCTTGCAGTCGATGAAACCAACATAACACATGAGGAGAGAAACCAGAATGCATGTGCCTCACTTTGCTTTAATTTTCTGCCAAGGGGAATACTCTCTGGACAACAAAGGACAAAAACAGATGATTTGTAGGGATTTGCAGCAAGATAACAAAAGTGTCCATCTGCTCCTTGAAGAAATCCCAACCCTGGACAACTGACAGACCAAGGCCCCAAGTGAAAGAGCTGGTGAAGGTGACCGTGGGGCCTCTGGTCTGCAAGGACCACCAGCAGCAGAAGAGGCCCTAGGGTCTGGAGAAGGGCTCACAGCCCATTCTTCAAGTGGGAGGAGAATGGAGTGTTTAAACTAGAGGCCATGGAAGTTTGAACAGACTCACAGACAGAAATTCTAGAGCAGCCTCTTAAGAAATGGTTAATGAACATTATGATGGTCTATATATTCTCTATGTTCTCTAACTAATAATGAAACTATTAGAAAAAGACAAATCAACACAAAAACCCAGCATAATTGTCAACAAATCCTGCCAAGTTAATATTTTTTGCTTTTTTATAGGATTGCTGATGGTACTACAATCCAGGGAATGCTTTAGACAGTTTACTGAGAATTCAGGAAAACACTGGACAAAGTCTCCCCTGCTGCTGCTAAGAGGGCAATACTCCAAATTCAATCAGTTGAATGGCTGGACCCAAAGCCTAGTCACTAATGATCCCACGCCCACATGGAAGCAGGTCTCAAGTGAAGTCACCCTCAGAAGTGCTGAACAAGAAAGGCCTCCACAGGCAGCATCCTGCCTAGAAAAGGGTCTCAGGGATTTAGTGGGAGGCAAGTGCACTATTATTCAACAACAATAGCTCATTTCATAGCTTTGCAAATTATATCATTTGATACCAACAAGGCCCAAGTGAGTTAAGTACTGTTATCTCCATTTGAAAGACGAGCAAACAAAGGCTGAGAGGTCAGTGATTTGCCAGATGAGGTCTCCCTTGACTGCAGGGTCAAGCCCTAGAATAATTAATCACAACAACGGCAGTGTGCATTTACACAGCACCACGTGCCAGAAGCCAAGCAAAGTGCTGGCAAAACAAACACAAAACCAGCCAGTCCACGTCCTCCAGGGGCCTATGACCTAATGAGAGAAGCCGTTTCACAAAATGGAGCTAAGGAAGCTCTCTGACTCGGAGACTTAATGGAAAAGTCCCCACGGAGGGCAGCTAACTGAGAAGTTAAAAATGTCTGAGCTGAGCTGTCTCCTTGAATGAAGGCTGAAGAATTCATGGCTCTGTCCTCCATCAAGGCTTATCTGGACACTATGCCAGTGAGAAGCTTCCTGGGCTGTGGGGAAGAACTCAGAGATGTCCCACAGCCAGGCAGCCAGGCGGGAAATGAAGAGCACAACGTCACAGCTAGAGGAGGTGACAGTCCCACTGTCCTCAGCCCAGGTCAGACCTCACGTGGGGATTTATGTTCAGATTTGACCCTGCATTTTATGAAAGACACTGATAACCCAGAGAGGGTTCCAAAAAAAGGGCACCTAGGACGACTTAAGGGTCTCTAGTTGCTATAATCTAGGAATCAGTTAAAGAAACCAGAGATATTTTGCATATAAAAGAGTAGAGTTAGGGGTAATAACTTGTCTTCAAGCATGGGAAGAGCAGTCCCACTGAAGAATTATAGAACTGGTACTGTTTGGCCAAACCCAGACTACTAAGACAACTGGCAAAAGACCCAAAAAGGAACTGAAGCTTGATCTGAGAGAAACTCGCCAACAAGGAGTGGGCGAGCAGGTAGGGAAGCCAGTCTCCCATCTCTGGCAGTCTTCACACAGAGGCTGCCAGAGCAGCTCTTGGTTACAGGGCAGACAGGACTCTTGTCTCATGGCCCTGGGGTGCTGGTGCTCTCCAGCTGAGACTCTGACCTCTCTGGGCCTCAGTCTGCTAACCTGAGATGTGAAAGGGGAGCCACATTTTACTTCTATGGGCTGTACTTTTGTTTTCTTCTACCAATGACTCTGGAAAAGCTGACCCAGACATTATAATCTCTATCCACTCACAGCCAGGGCAGGGCCTTCGCCCTTCGTGGCCGATCTTAGTGCCTATGGTCCTGACTCAACTTCATCAGACTCCTTTCACCATTTCCTACGATGAATTACCATCTCAAAAACATCACACACGAGCTGGACTCGATGTTTTCTGAGGTCTTTCAACTCACGACAAGATTCATGTTACTCTCCTGAACACCTTCCTACTAGCACAGGCACAAAGTCCACATTCTTCTGTTTGGCTTTCAAGACCTTCTATAATCTCACCCAATTCATTCAATCAGTGAGTCAATTTACAGGACTTTATTAAGCTCCTGCTTTGTGCCAGGCACTGTGTTCATTGGGCGCTGAAGATAACAAAAGAATCATAGAACAGTGCCTGCCCTCACTATGCTTAGACTCTGTACTTATGCAACCCTGTGTCCAATTCTCCCCAAGAATGAAACGGCTGCTCTAGTCACACTTGTCTTCTTGTTTTATAATTATGCTTCTATTCACTGCCACTTTCCCTACCTTTCCATATTTTTATTCTTCATCCTCCACCTCTCCTTCAAAAAAACAAAAATTTCTATCCATCCCTCTCTCTCAATTCTAATCCTTCCTTCAAGGCCACAGTCAAATCAGACTTTCTCCACATGTCTTCTTCTGCACCTAATTCAGCACACACCCACTTCTACCTTCTCTAAATTACCATTACATCCTGTTGCCACAGAATTTAGCACATGATTATTCCCTTACTGTTTCTGTTTCACGGACTGGATCTCTATCACTTCAAATGGGTAAAATACTCTCAAAGTAACATCATCTATTTTTCCAAAGAAATCTTAATCTTAAATGAAAAGCCAATAAACGCAAGAGGCTTAGCAGTCAAAATGATCTTCCCAAAGAACAAGTCTTATCATAACACACACACACACACACACACACACACACACACACACTCTTAAATCAACTATAGTGGCTCCCTATTACTCCAGGATCCAATTTAAAATGTGGTCCCTCCCCACCTTTCTAGTCTTCTCACTCCTCATCCGTGTGACCTAGTGACACTGACCTCCTGGCTATTCCTCAATCAAGGTACTCTTACATTCTCTCTCCCTCCTGGCTTCCTTCCAGTCCTACCATAGGCAAAACACTCTTCTCACTGCCCCTGAAAATGAAGTTCTTCCCTATTCTATCTCCAATTCCCCCTGTCTACAACTGGCCTGTACAAAGTCGCTGGCACATTCTCTCCCCAGCAGGACTGAGCTCCTTGAGAACAGTCTTCTGATTTTCATTGAATCTCCAGTACTCAGCACAGTGTCTGGCACACAGCAGGCACTTTACAAATGCTAGCTAAATAACAAGTGTTTGACAAACATTCTATCACTGGAGCTACGGAAACAGCTCCGAGAGGCAGGTGCTCTAGCTTGCACTATAACCATCTGACAGATGAGGAAACTGAAGTCTAGAGAGTTTCAAAGACCAGGCCACAGTCACCCAGTTAGGTTCAGAAGGAGGAAATTAACCCAGGTCTTTCAGACTCCAAGTCTAGCACCTGACTCTATCCACTATGCCACATTACCATTCCTCACAGATTTTTCACTGGGACCTGTGATTCTATTGATTCAGGGACTTTCAAGAGAGGAGCTGTCACCTGTCAATGCAGACTGACCACTCTCTAATGGTCAAAGACTTGCCCAAGATCACACATCTGGTTTATGTCACAAGTAGGAATCAAACCTAAGCCAACCTGACTGGTAGAACTGGTTCTTTACCAACTACTCCAGGCCACCGCTCTTCCTAACAGGGGGCATAATCACAAAGACATACATTAGCATGCTCCATCCTCAAAAATGTGGAAAGCAGGATGGGGGCATGCTAAGTCTCAGGGGGTGGGAGACACTCATGAGAACAAATTCCAGTCTCAAGTGAAAAGTTTAAGCACAAGCAGAACAGTCACAAAATGCAGAGCAAGTGTTCAAAAAAATCACATTGTGGAAGCCAAGAGAACAGTGGCCTTTGAGGAATAAATAGTCAACAGTGTTTACTAGGGGGAAAAAAGCCTTAAAGTTTCCTAACGATGCAAATTAAGAAAAGAATACTGAGTTGGACCAGGAAAAGAACAGGTGACCTTGGAGAGTAAGGATTCAATGAAGGGGAAAGGCCAGCGGCCAGAGAAGTACAGAGAAGCCAATCACGCGGTCTGTTGCTGTTCTTGGGCATCAGAGTAGCTCCACACTGACAAATCCCCCCGACATCCTCTGCCTCGGTCCCCACCCCACCGGCCCCCCCCAGACGTCACCTGCTAACAGCACTCACCTCATGATGGATTCGCTGGTAAACTCTCTGTTCATTATCTAACACTACAAACGACTCAGAGGGTGCTGCATCACCACTGAAAATGAAGCTCAAGTCCCCTCGTTGGCACTTCATGTCAGTAAAGTCTATGAGAGTTGTGTCAAGCCTGTGGAAAACAGCTCAATTAAATAAATGCTGGAAGATACTCGATGCACATAATTCCTAACAAAACAGCTGTATTAAAATCTAAAATTACCGCATTTCACAATCAAATTCCTAAGACAAATTCATAATATTTTAAAGAACACAACTTGACTTTAGCCTTCCACATCATATAAATGACTCCTTTAAGATTTATTGTTTGTGACATTATTAATGTTGCTATCAATGGTGTTCATTCATTCAACATTTACTGAAAGGTTGGTATGTGTAAAGCATTGTGCTAATGCTTTAGAGGACGTAAAGATGGGTAAGAAATTTGTCCTACTGATTTATTTCATCAACACTGGCAAATAAAATGTAAATTGGGTTATAGTTAATTTATAATTTCCCTTCTTGGGCCTTTCTAGTCATGGGATTTCCTCCTAGTTCAAAATATTTTTTACTTCTATTTGACACCAAAATAGATTTTTAAATTCTTTCATGGAGTCATTTTGTCAACAATTAAATTGTAAAGATTTCCCTTTAAAAGTTATTAAAAACCAACTCAAGTTCTTCCCAAAGCCCCTATCTCTCATCATGCCTCATCATATGCAATGGTAAGGTCCATATTGTTCCCATTCCCTGCCCCAATGGGATGTAAGCCCCTAGAGAACAAGAATGGGGCCTTTTCGAAACTCTGAATCCCAACACTTACAAGTCCAGTGCCTTGAAAACAGTTCTTGCTTTACATAAATTCACATTATGCAAATGTAACTTTACATAAAGAATTCTGAAACGCATAAGAAGATGTAACAGAAACATGGATGAAGAGAGCTTAGGAAAAAAAATATGTCCACAGTTCATTCCCATCTTTCATGGATCTGACAAAGATAAAATGCTGGAAGAAGTGAGTAACAAGACTGTAAAATGAGTACAAGAACTGTAGATAGATGTGAATGAGAATGACCTGGAGGTGCTGACTGAGCTGCTAGCAGCAAAGACTACAGAAGAGAGGGCAGCTCCAGAACCTGAGGTCAAACCAAACTGGTTTATGAGGAGAAACAGCCGACAGAAGCATTTCATCGTCTAAGTGAATGGTTTTTGGTGTTGAAAAAAGGGCTCCAAATAGTTCAAGATTTCCCAAAGTTCAAAGACTAGCTGAGGGAGGAAGGAGAGGCATGGTCCAAATAACTCTCCTAGCATCAGTAAAAGAAGGTGCCCAGCCAATTCCCAGTGGTGAAAGCCAGGGTCTTCAGAATTCTGTTTATTCTCATTTTATGACTTGCATGAAGATCCTGTTTTAGGTGTGCCTCTGTTAGCTTACACTAAGTGAAGCAGGTGGGGAGGGGGAAATCCACATTATGTAAAAATCACTTTACATGAGGTCTGAGGAACTTAGCCACGCAAAGCAAGAACTGTGTCTGATGGCCCAATGTTTCTTGAATGAATATTGTTCCAAGACAGCAAACAGCTGGCATTCACCAAGTACCGTAAGGTTCACAGAATGTTTCACGTAAATTATATCTCATTTGACCCTCACAACACCCCTATGAGGTAATGTGCTATATATTATCCCTATTTTGTACATGAAGACATCGAGGCAGAGGACAGTTAAGTGACTTGCCCAAGGCCCCACAGTCAGCATGTGTCTGAGCCCAAAGTGCCAACCGCAGACTTCTCAATGCCAAGTCCAACACTCAATCCTGTGCACTCCATTCCATGTGGCCTAAGACTGATGGTCTCTCTTCTATGCCATTCAAAAGAGCAATGTTTTTTTTTTAAAAGACGATCTCCTTCCTCAAGCTATCAGAAGTTGGAACTGAATGTAATTCCTTTTAAACAAGAAACAAAATCAGGGACAAAATCATTCTAAAACACAAGAAATTAATCATCTATTACCCTTAAAAGGCATTATTTCCAAAGGATTCTTAAACTACAACATATTTCTAGTTTATAAACTTTATGAAATGAATGATTCTATCTTATTAAACACTGAGGTAATTTTTTAAAGCTTTCGTTCAATTTATAAAGAACAGCCATCCTACTTCTGCATTTTTGAGACAAGAAAACAATCACTTTAACAATTCAGTTTAAATTATATTACAATACTCTAAATGCTAAAACCTAAAAATTTTTTCAGTAAAATAACCCTCTACTACATTCTACAACATATTCCCAGAAGTTACCTACAATGCCTATCCAATTGTTTTAAAACTAAATCCTTACCAGAAAGGAAAATAAAAGTAAACTTTGGGTCAAGCAAAGCACTCAGAAACACGGCAAAGTTTTCCACACTTCAGTAACAAAAGCAAATCATCTTACCTGATATTGATACCTTGTTTGTATATTTTACATGCATCAGAAGGCAGAATTCGGGAAAGTAAAGGCACTGTATTTGCAACAGAAAAGATTAAAAAATTAATGCGCTGAGAAACCTACTAAACAATTACGCAAGTATAAAACAGCAATGCTAAAATTTCACTAATTCTATGAAAGTATTATAATTATTGTTAAAAAAGATAATTTCTAAGGCTAATTTGCTTTAAGGTTAGAAACAGGACCCAACAAAGCAACATTCTCAAGCAATTTTAGAAAGCTGTTATTTAATCTATGATCAGGGGAGGTATGATGTCTGAGTAACTCATAGGATGTCTCTATCTGTAAGAAATCTGAGCTCTGAGCTCCAACTTGAGACCACCATGAGCCAGTCCCAGGTCAAGGCCAGGTTTGTAAGGGAGGTGAGGAAGAGTGTAAGGAAAGGGGGTAAGAGAAGCTTCCAAAGAAGAGAAGAAGAGTAGAAGGAGGAGGAAGGAGTTCCTACAGCCAACAAAGAGTAGAGGATGTGTTCAGGACAAGAGCTGCCTGTCATGTTACTGATGGGACGAGGGTCCAAGAGCCAGGAGATACTTGCAATTCCTCCAGCTAACTAACTCTTTTTGAACAGGCTTGAAAAGAGGCCACAGTCTATACCACGTCAGAGAACACAGCAGGTTCTATGGGTGCACCAGCAAGATTCAGGCCCATATTGTAAGCCTGGGGAGTGAAACCTTCACTGTGTCCTGGGAACACTTCTGACAGTCTGGGAAAGCCTTTGGACCCCTTCTCACAATGAGTGGTGTTGAAAGAAATGGTAAATTTCAATTACAGGTTGGTGAAATTAAAGACAATTTTTTTCCTTCATTAACATTCAGAGACTCACCCTAAACCCTATCCCCAGACTTCCTTAGACCATTAAGGGTTAAGAATCCCTTTTATAGGCTACAGTTATGCTCTGGCAAATATGATTTCAATTGTGGTCTATCTAAATTCAGATAAAGAGTTGTTTATATGGAATTCTACACAGAGAAAGGGGAACAAAGTAAATGCCTGAGGTTGTGATTAAATTTTTGTGTTATATGCAGCACCTTCTACAGGTGTTTCACAAAAATCTAATACATGACATTTAGTTAGAAAGAAATGATAGGCCATCCAAATGTTTAGGCGGACAAGATAATGCGGGGTACTCCTCTGTGGAGATTTTTATTCATGGGGCTCTTCTTGCACGTTTCTAGACATCCTGTAGTGCTTGGCCATTGGGGTCAATACTGACTGGGTCATTCTAGGCATCTCAAAGCTAAACATTTCCAACATAAAAACAAAAGTTGCTCTTATCTGTGTAGATAAAATTCCTCTCTTCTCCAAAAGCAGGGGGCCAGAAATGTAGTAACTGTATGCCTCCCTATCTATATAGTAGGTCTATATAGCTGCTCTGCCTTCCTTCTTCCTGCCTCACCTCCTCTTTCTCTGTGTCTTTGGTGCTATGTGAAGCAAAGGAAAACTCAGAGATGTTATCATTAAATTCCATGACAGCTTCATATTAAATTTACTGACATTACTAGAAAAACAATGTTGCAAAAAAAATTCTAACATCTGCCCTTTGAATACTATCTGGTCAAGCTTCAATTCTCAACAAACAGAAATTCAACAATGTGCTAGTTTCAAGTAAAAATAAGCTTCGTAGAGAAGCTTAACATTTGAATAACTATCAGTTTAATTTCACCAAGAATTTAGTAGTAGATGGAAAAATATTGTATTTTTCCAATAGCGCATTTAAATCATTAGTGCCCAATGCACCTAGCATAAAATTTCAGCTACATAGGCAGTAAGAATAAATTTCTCTGGTAAAGAAAAAACTTACAGCTACAGAGATTTTTTAATGCTTTGGTTCACGAAGCTCAATTTGATATTAACTTTAGGCACCACAGCCCAAGCAGAAAGAACAACAGACTTGAGTCAGAACCACTGGGCTCAATTCTGGTCCCCCATTTCATTAACCAGGGTACCTTGGTAAGTCACTTAATCATCTTAACCTGTTTCTTCATCTGTAAAATGGGAATGGTCATTTCTGACCTGCTCACCTCCCACGGTCATCCCAGATGTATGAAAAAAGTATTCTCAAAGCTGAGATATACAATACAAATGAAAGCACAAAGAAAGAAAAAGGGCAAAAAGGGTAGGCAACAGTAACTAAAGATTTTAGAATACAGAATTATCGGGATTAAAATGTGGTGATCTCAAAGAATTACACAGCTGGTACTGTTTTTGTTGAAAAAGGAATCTGAGAAGGGCTGGGTAAAAAGAGACAAAGAAGAATCAGGGAGATGACTCACAGGAAAGACAAAAACAATCATCTGGCAGTGAGAGTCACCTTTTTAAACAGTCCTTAGAAGTCAAAGCACAATGCTCTGCGATCTCACACAACTGAGAAGTGATGGCCTAAAACTTCAGGTTACTGACAACTTGGCCAAGTGATCATTATGCAGACAGAGAGCTCAGACAGCTCACGTGAACCAAGTCTCAGCCCTTTAGAGAAGCCCACATCTGGCCGAGAGGCAAAGAGAAGATGAAGCAAAAAGGAAAATCTTGCTACTGATGAAGACCGAGGGCTTTAAACAAATGCCCCCATCAAGGGCCACGAAATGATCTAAGCAGAGAACTCAACTCAAGCAAATAAGACTTCACAAGTATAACTGATACTTGTAGGGGGTTGACTAATGATTCTTAATATCAAGGAAAAATATATCTTATTCAATACAAACAGGTTACAAATGAAGACATCTATTAAGCACCTACTAGGTGCAACACATGGTACTAAGCACCGGGGATAGAAACAGCAAGTGAAGACCATCCCTGCCCTCGTGGAGCTCCCATTCTAATGGGGGAGACAACATAGATGAGAGGTTTCAGCTGTAAGCCAGGTGGAAAAGGAGGAAATAAGCGTTTGTCTTCTATTATGTGCCAGGCACTGTATTGAGTACTTTACAATTATTATCACATCTGATCCTCTACAACCCTTCGAAGAAGGTGCTATCATTACCCCCATTTTACAGAAGAAAATGAGGCAATCAGAGGTGAAGTGACCTGCCTAGGGTCACACAGCTAGGAGGTGCCTGAGGCCAGATTTGAATTCAGGTCTTCTGGTCTCCAGGACGAATACTCTGTGCCCCTTTGTGCCCTAGTGGATGGAAAGGTCCCATTGTCTTTAGAAGGTAGTGGTAAAGCAGATGCTTGTGCCTCTTCTTACAAGTCATTTCCACTGGTAACATCCTGTCACTTTCTGGACAGAGACAAAGACTTTCCCTTTTGGGTGTTGGCTGCTGTGTCCAGAACCCCTCCATGGGGTTCCCCACCTGCATCTCCACAAGGGCTCTTTTGGGGGACGGTGGCTGAGAGTGCTGGGTTGGAAGCCTGGCCAGTCCCTGAGCTACTGGATTCAGGGCCCTGGGCCACCTCCATCAGGGTCTGAGGGGACATGGTGGTCCTGACAATGGAGTTATGACTGCCTCCTGTCTCTCCCTCAGTGTGAGATTACAATCTTGGTAATTTCACAGCATTCATTAAGTACAAGAACTCTGCCTCCAAAGAAGTATAAGAAGACATCTCTTCTGCTCTACTCCCTTGCAAAGGTAGGGAGGTCCGTGACAGTGGAATACGGCACATCAGATTTTTTTTAATGTTTGATTAGTTTTGCTGAATTTTTTCTCCTCTTCTAGTTTTTTTTAATTATTTACTATAAAGTTTGTTTCTCTGGGAAAGAATGAAGACTATGGGGGAAATCTCGGTAATGTAGTAACAAAAGATCTCAATAAAAAACCTGTTAAAATTTGTGGGGAAAAAAAAGATTACGTAAAGTGATCATCACAGATTTAGAACTGGAAAGGGCTCAAGGTCATCTAGTCAAGTCTTTCCATTTTAAAACCGAAGCAACGGGGGCAGCTAGGTGGCGCAATGGACAGAGCACCGGCCCTGGAGTCAGGAGGACCTGAGTTCAAATCCGGCCTCAGATACATAATACTTCTTAGCTGTGTGACTCTGGGCAAGTCACTTAACCCTAATTGCCTCACTAAAAAAATAAAAATAAAAATGTGAAGCAATGGAGGTCCTGAGAAGCAAGTGACATGCCCACGGTCCTGAAAGTAATCAGTGATGACATCCTCAGTTCACGGAAGCTTCCCCTTCCGCTGGCATTTGTGCCAGCTTAGAAGGGGGCTGTTGCCCTTAATTAGCCATTTCCTCTCTCTCCAGCTGCCGGTGATCTTCTCCCATCACAATATTGTCTGTTTCATCCTTTTTCATAACCCAAAGGCCTTCAGGATCTTCACGTGACATGCAGTGCTACTCTCCATTATTTGCTGGCGTCGGGGAAGCCGGGTTCAAGTCACAGCAGCTTTTCCACTTTCTTCATGAGAAAGCAAGGGAGGAGAGGTAACCCCAGTCCATGGGCTTCACTGACAGCCTCACGATGATGAGAGAAAATGAGAAGGGAATTCAGCACATGATTGGGGGAGGGGAGAGTTCAGCTGAGGCAAACTTAGGGAAGATTAGACAAGGGAGGCTGAAGGAAGATCAAAGGGAAGGCAAACAAAACTGCACCCCAAGACAGAGAGGCAAAACTGGTCGCCCTCCGAAGTGACTTTGTTCAGCTTTACTAAAGGAGAGAGACCTTCAAACAGGGAAGCAAAAACGGCACAGAGGGAATTCAAGCCCAAGACAGTCCAAAGCAGGCTCAGACTCAATGTGTGTCTAATCCAGAAAATGAGCACAAAGACAAAGTCACAGTCAGTGATGTATGGAAAATCACAAAGCATGGCAGAGATGATGGCTGCCCACAGACAGACAAATGTCTGGATTTCTCATAAGAAGAAGGTTGTTTCTTCAAAGTGGAGGCCGGTGACATTGACTCTGATTCATGAATGAAAGCATGGTCCACTGCCTACTTTTACTAGACTTAACACCAAAATGACAGAAAAGGAGGCCGCTGCCTCCATAGTCCCTTAGATTCTGACTTCACCCAAGTCCATGAGGTCCCCTTAGGGCTCAAACGGAAGGAGAACCCATCACTTCCAGCTGGGCCTTGTAACAAGGACTAAGGAAACAATGGATAAAGAGAGGAGAACTCAGAGTTCTCTACCAAAATTGCTTTTTTTGTTGTTGTTGCTAGATGAGGAGATTCAAAGAAGAAAAAAGGTCAGATGGGAATGGAGAGAAGCCTGGGACAAAGTGCAGATATAGATGCAGTTGAGTTATACAGCGAGGGTAATGATTTACTGCACCCCCATTTCATTCCAATCAGTATTAATAAGTTCAGTGTGATTCCACAGAAGTAATGATTTTAGCAATCAGGAGGGATATACTCATCTAGTAATATACATTTAGTTGGTCGACTTAGCTAATATTAGTATAAGCATTAATTACATATATTAAATACATATTTTTCACATATCATAAATAGGGATAAATAGATAAGATAGATTCTTTCTTATAACAGACCTCAAACTTTAAACTATGAGCCACAAGTTCAATGTTCACTAACCTGTTATAAAGTGTACTAGCCTACCCACAAGAATGTTGGCCTAGAGGACTGCCACCCTTATGGGTGATGAGGGCACAACCAACCCAGTGTGGGTGAGATGTCTTGACATGATATGCAAAGTCCTCCCACTTATTTTTGTATCTCTGGACCACCCGCTTGCCAAGCACAAGGAGGGGCCCATCTTATCACTCAGCTTTGCCCATGCTGTGACAACCTGTATGCTGACATATCATTTCTGGCCCTGATCTATCAAACAAGAAGACTTTGTGTTTTACTTTGCTTCTTCTGAAGGTCTGGGGATCAAGCCCTACACGAGTAAGGCCCTGGGGAAAGGGAGCTTCTCCAATCGTGAGGAAGACTGGAGGTCCCATTCACAGCCTTAATAAGTGGTCACTGACTCGGAGCTCTACCTCAGTGGTTCTTGCAGACTGGACAAGCTGGATCCTACCATACAAGGTGTTACTGTCCACCGTGAAATTCTATGATCCTTCATCCTTTGGGTTAAGGTGAAGAAATGTGGGCCAGATGTTAATAAGGCATAATCAAAACTGGCTAAAGAAGGTTTCTAATGCTGCAAGGCTCTTTACTTGGGCCTTCTCTTTTTCAAAATCCATGACTGAGATGAAGGAATGTCAGCTGCCTCATTTTACAGATGAGAAAATTGAGGCTTCCAGGGAAGCGACTTGCCCAAGGTCAACCTCCAGGAAGTAGCAGGAGAGGCAAGGCTTGACATTCAAGTCTTATATTCAGACTGCACTAAAAAAGCACCTACGCAGAAGACAAAGGGGGAAGCGAGGCTGGTGTGTGAATCCAATGAAGCAGAGTTCTGGATCTGGGTGAACCGCAACTTCATTATGATGTTTCAAAGGGATGACAAGGCAACTGAAGAGCTCCCGGGAATCGAGGGCTCACTGAGAGAAGTGCTGGAGGAAGAGCGCTTACAGTGCCCCTCTACTGTCCCCAGGCAGCTTGCTCAAAGGGCTCAGTACAGTTCAAGGCATAATACATCTCAATCGGGGGAGAAAAAAGATGACAGAAAAATATTTATTCTCTCTCCCCCTCTCCAACACATTAAAGCTGTACCTTGTACTTCTAACCATGAGAATCTTACAGCAGCACAAGTTTATTTATATATACATATATATACACATACATTTATATACATATATAAATAATTTTTGGAAAAACTTGTGATACTGTAAGGTTCTATGATTGAGTTTCCTTTGGTTCTGAATAGCCCTTAAGGTTTTACATATCTGGGTAGGACCACAGTAAAAGACTGGCATACCTATCTACAAAGAGATCAGATTCAACATATAGAAGGCAGATGCTAAATCTCAAGTATTTCTGTATACCACTATCAATCATATTTACCTTTGCAATTATTTTGTGGTCAACAGCAAGATGTTTTCACATCTTAAAATTCACAAGATCACATTATATTCATAAAACATCACAAATACTCAATACTGTCCATTCAAGAATGCGTCTGCCAACACATTAAAGTACATCCTGTAATTTAGGACTTCATAGGTTAGGAAAAAGAAAATTAAAACTCAGGAACATAATTTTTTTCAAGTTAAACAGATCATTTATTAAGACAGAGTAATGAGTTTTATTATGCTATACCCATATATTATATGTGAAAAATGTTTCATGATTAAAAATAAGGCAGAGTACATACTATATATGCCCCTTAATCACTGAATTTGTTATACAATTACCACAGAGAAGTATTCATTCTGTTTACTCTTTAGAATGATGAACTACAAAGTGATGAAAAACTACACAGGACAGTAATTCTTATCAATGAGATCAGACTACTTTAATATAAAGGTGTAGTCCGAATTTTGTTTCATCTTCTTTAAAATGAGAAGTGACTAATCTTGCTATTGCAAAATTACAAATAGAGAACACCTTATAAACATGAAGGTCTTTTAGAACTCCATTAGACAGTCTATTAATAAACTGAACATGAGACAGAAAGGAAATCAGTAATAAAGGAAACAAAACATGAATGGTCAGAGGATGAAAAAATGTAGATATTGTCAAATCATGTTAACCAAGTTCTTTTTCACATTCCAACAACTCAAACATACTTTAAACTCTCATAAATAATATAATGCAAGAAATCCTTTGTTATCTCTCCCAACAATTTAAAAACTTTCGCCTTGCACTGGTAAAATCATTAGAATTTCTCTGTTCAGAGTTTTTCTCAAATCATTTGTAATGGAGTAGAGAGCAACTCAATTTTCAAAGAATAATGGAACTGATTATTCAAGTTGGATAATTAAGTACACCTGTAAGGCTTCAAAAACCATTCACATGCAAAATTTATTATGATGGAACTTACTCAATAAAATTCATGCAAGTGATATTTGTTACGCTGATAAATTCTTTGAAAATCACGTGTGCACTTGCAAGTCTGCATATGTAACCACTTTAAAAGTAAAATATAGCATACTTCTTACCCCAGCTTTGAAAATCCCAGTGAAGCTCTAGATAAAAGTCACCTAGCTGAGAAATGAAATATTAATAGTTACTAAAGATACATCATTTAACAGATCTTAAAATTGTTTAACATTATCCTTTTAAAAAACTAATTTTTTCAATTGGAGAGGAATGAATTGTAAAATCAGAACTAACCTCAAATATTTAGGGCTTAAAAACAAAACTTGGTCAGCTGCAAAATTTACAAAGCAATAGAATATTTTCTTTCATATATTCGTACAATAAGATGTTACGAAACATTTTAAACTAAATATGAAAAAGAACTGAAATAGACAAATGGAGCTTTTCTTATTGATGTTAATTTTTCACCAATATTACCAGCTTACAACAATGATGCAAACCAAAACCAAAAAGAAACAAAAACCAAAAACTCTGAAATTTTCTTAAGTCTATGAATGATCATTAAAGGAAATCATATGCAAAATATTCCACAGTAATAAAAAGGAGGAAAATCAAAATGTTAAATTCTGATTCATAAATTACACTTTGGGAAGGACACCGACAATCTGAAGAGAGTTCCAAGGAAGCTACCAGAAAGACAGTGAGCGACCTGGGATGACAACATGTGACTGAGGTTGTTTAACCTGGCTGGAGGGACAAGTCTCAAGTATGTGAAGGAGGGCCCAAGTTAGAACAGAACTGGGCACAGCGGGGGTTGACCAGAGGCAGAAGCAAGCAGAGCCTGCCTCCCCCTGGAGCCTCCGAGCAACAGCTGAGGTTGTTCAGAACACTGGAGAGGCCTTCTTTTGGGCTGTGGCAGATGAGAAGGCCTCTGAAGACCTTCCACAGGGTGCGCCCATGAGGTTCTCTCTGTAGAAGTTAAAAGTCTGATTTTTAGATTCTCTTCAGTGTTAATAAATATGTGCTATTAATAACCTTCAGCTAAAATTTTCACTGAAATAAGTTTTCACTTAATGGAAAGACAGGATTCATTCAAAGAATGTCTACTAATGATCCAATGTCTATGGCCCACATCAAATGCCTAACATCAAAAACAAGATCCTTTGAATTACATGTAATAAAAGCCATTCGCTGGAAGGGGCACGGAATATGTTGTCAGGAAAACCTTGGGTTCAATTCATGCTCCAGCACTTGCAGAGCCCTTAATCTGGAGCCATAACTCCTGGGGCCAATCCCAGATCTACCATTTATGAAGTGTGTGTATTTGGCTGGATCTCTGGGTCAGCATCTGTAAAAGGATGGGGCTGAACTAAGTGATCGTTAAGGCACTAAATCTAAATCCAACAGGAAAAAAAAAGGCAGGATGATTCAGTAAGCTATCAGGGTTCATGGAACAGCTGTGTCTTTTTCCATGTTTGTACAAATCAATGTCATCTAAACTATCTTAAAATATAATTTCCCTCAAACAGTGAAAACCAGGGTTTAATTTATATAGCACTTGACCAAACATGTCATGGATACACAATAAAATAAACAATGCTGTTTACAAAGCACAGTATTTAGGAAAGAATGAAAATAAAAATACATCTCTTACTTTGTTACTTTTGAAATAACCTTTTTCCACCTGAAAAAATACTGATGTCAGGCAGTCAATAAGCATTTATTATATATTTACTATGTGACAGGAACTATGGACCAAAATAGGATGGCGAGGAAGACACAGAGAGGAGGATTCACTTTCCCAAGGATCAATAATTCTGTTGGCAGTTTAAGCCTGAGAGATGTTAACACGATGCTACACCTTCTTAAAAGAGGGCACATCATATCTATTAGGCAGGTAAGGGTCACCTGGGAAATTCCTCAAATTGGTCTACGAACACGTAACAGTAAACAATTTCTTGAGCTACCATTATGTAATTTATATCAATGTTGGAGTTTTTATGCTTTTCTACAAGCAGAATATGTCTAATACTTTTCATTTGCATTGATGGGGAGCTAAGTAGTGTAGAGGACAGAGCACTAGGCTTGGAATCAGAAAGATTCATCTTCCTGAGTTCAAATCCAGCATCAGACACTTTCTAGCTATGTGACCCTGGGCAAGTCACTTCACCCTGTTTGCCTCAGTTTCCTCATCTGTAAAATGAGCTGGAGAAGGAAATTGTAAACCACTGCAGTATCTTTGCCAGAAAACCCCAAATGGGGACATGGAGTCAGACACAAGTGAAATGACTGAATAACAACAAAGATTTGAACAGATCCCCTTATCCACTCCTCCTATCCACGGCTCTTGTGACGTCAGGAAAGCCCACAGATTACATGAGGTTCCCTCTGTTTCCACAACGGTAAGGAATAGGAAGGTTCAGAGAGAAGGGAAATGGCTAACTTTCCAGAGAAGAACTAGGTTAGCCAACTCTTCCCTGAGAACCAACACATAAATGCCATGTTCCTGAAGAACACCATAACTAAAAATGAATAAATTTAAATTAAGAACAACAACAGTATAAGAACCTAGATAGTACTACTGTGAAGAGAGGGATGTAAAGAAGTCTTCCTTCACTGTACTGGGAGAAGGAGAATGGGGTAAATTATCTCATATGAAACAGACAAGAAAAGGCTCTTATGGTGGAGGGGAAGTGGGGGGAGGTGAAGGGGAATGAGGGAATCTTATTCTCATCGGATTTGGCTTAAGGAGGGAATAACATACACAGTCAATTGGGTGTGGAAATCTGTCTTACCCTATGGAAAATAGGGGGGAGGGGACAAGAGAGCAGGGGGATGACAGAGGGGAGGGCAGATTGGGAAAGGGGGTAATCAGAAGCAAACACTTCTGAGGAGGGACAGGGTCAAAAGAGAGAACAGAATACATGGTGGGCAGGATAGGATGAAGGGAAATATACTTAGCTTTTCATAACAGGACTACTATGGAAGTGTTTTGCATGACTACACATGTATAACCTGTATCGAGTTGCTTGCCTTCTCAATGAGGGGGAGTGGGGAGGGAGGGAGAGAGAAAATCTGGAACTCAAAATTTTAAAAAACAAAAGTTAAAAAAAATTGTTTTCATGTGCAACTGGGAAATAAGATATACAGGAAATCGAGCATAGAAATCTATCCTGCCCTACAGGAAAACTGAAGGAGAAGGGGTAAGAGGAAAGGGGGGGGGGAGTAGAAGAATTCAAAGAAACAGAGCCCTTCACATGAGGAACATTCCATGATAGTCTCTATGCAGATGAATGCAATCAGTGTCAAAACCACTTGGGGAGGAGAGATAGAAGGGGGGCAGATTAGGAGAAGAGGGTCTCAGAACGCACACCATCTTGGGGTGGGGGGAGGGACAAGATGGGGAGAAAATTTGGAACTCAAAAACTTGTGGAAGTGAATGCTGAAAACGAAAAATAAGTTAATTAATTAAAAAAACCTATCTGAAAAAAAAAAGTCTTCCGAAGTCACAGCTTTGCTAAGACCTCAATTCTTCTTTTCCATTACCATCCCCTTAACTCAAGCTACTCCCTCAAGCCTTTTAATTTGCTTTCCTAGACCCTAAAGCCATCCTGGGACGTTGTCACCAAGTTAATTTTGTCACATCCTTAATCACAACATCCTAGAAGGTTCTAAACTCTTCAAAATGAGGTCCCAAACGAGCTTTCTTGTCCCACTACTCCTCTTTATGAAATCTCCACTTCAGCTAGTCAGGTCTGCCTGTCACTTTCCCAAGATTTCTCACCTTCACTCAGGTTGTACCCTCTTCTTTCCTTCCTGAAACTGACAGCTCTCCAAACCCTCAAACCTTGTTGCCCCTTCCATAACACTTACCTTGCTCAGCCCACTACACAGTGATTTTTCCTGTCTCTGATCTCAAACAGCCCTTTCTTTGTACTTTAACTAACACAGAGAACAGTATATGCCTGTGTCTATCTGCTTTGCAAAACCAAAGCCTACTGAGGGCAGGGTCCATAGCAACCAACACTCCTGTACAGTAAACAGGAACTGGTGAGTGTTACACACAAGGAGATTATAAATGCGCTGCCTGGGAAAGTGATCAAATTCTGGCCTGACACTGTAAGAGGCATCACAAAGAGCCACATTTGATCCTCACTGACGGGATAAGAATAACAAAAACCTTAAAGACAGTTGGTGATAGAAAAGGAAAGGAATTAAAAATGAATATTAAAAATTGTTTTACACATAACTGGGGAAAAACAAAATACTAACTAAAAATCCACCAAAAAAAAAGGAAAAGAAAAGAAAGGACACACAGTCCAATGTGCAACTAGATTTTGAAAAAGTAAACTTCAAACAGTTCAGAGGAAAGACAGGATACCACGGACCAAGCACACAAGGGATAAGAGATGCTTAAGAATAAAGCTCTGAGGATAAAAAGGGAAATAAATCCACCGAAGAAGAAACAAGGAATTTTTCTGAAGAGACTGACAGAGATGCACAGGGAATTTATCAGCCCGCTTAGAGTTTAAAAAGAAACATACATAAAATGTAAGCAAAGTCAAGTAAGGCATGATGTCTCTAAGAACGTGATCTGTCCTGTAAAAAATAACGGGGTCAGGAATGCTAAAGCTCAGCATGGACTGAGGCCAGGGAGGGAAGCCAAGTACAATAAAAAGGGGGTTATGATGGGAGAAAAAGGAGGCACAAAGACCTTGAGGAGGGTGTATGATGGTAAATGGGAGGGAGAGCAGGCTGGCCGCCTCCTCTTATTCTGTTGTTTTCTCTGCCAAAGACAGAAATCTTTGAATGAAAAATGACTGGAGTGTACCCTAAGTGGAGAAATAAGTCCAAGAACACCAAGCTGTCTCAGGTGAAGGGAACTCGCAGGACCAAGTGACTTACATCCTTGGATCCTCAAAGAACTAGCAGAGAATGCTGAGCCACAGTCAGAGGCCCCTATTTAAAAGCAAATACATAAGAGAACAGAGAGTGCAAACCACAGGCTGGTGATCTTGACTTCCAGTTCCAGAAAAACCTAGACCAAAAATTAAAGAGATGTCTGGCTAACACCTAGAAAGGAAGTCATTAGACAGCTCTTTCTAGAACATGTCATGCTGCTCTAACCTCATTTCCAGAGGCAGGAAATGCTGCAGAGAAAATGGGGAGGATCCAATTAGATAACATAATCAGACAGACTCAAAGTTGGATGGGCAGATTCAAAAAACAGTTGCTGCTGGTTCAATATCAAGGTTGCAGGAGGACTTCAATGGAATACTCCAGGATCTGTTCTTGGCCCAGTGCTATTTTTTATATATATATTTTATCAATGACTTGGATAGAAGGACAGAAGGCATAACTCACAAAATACGCAAATGACACTAAGCTGGGAGATACAGATAACACACTGGATGACAGAATTAGTATCTAGAACAATGTCAAAAGGCTGAAGGATTGGACTGAATCCAGTAATATACAATTTAAAAGAGAAAAATATAAAGGGTTATATTTGGACACCAAAAAAATCGACTTCAACAGTACACAATTCAGGGAAGTGTGGTTAGACAACAGTTATGCTGAAAAAAGATCTGAGTGGTTTGGTGGCCTATGAATGAGTTTCCAGTTGGGAGCCAACAGTGTGATCTTGCACTCAAAAAACGAATGTACTATGGGGCTCTACGAAAGGGACGCACAACTTCCAGGAACACCAAATTGACTGTTTCACTGAGCTCTGCACTGGACGGTGGGCCATTGACTCCTACTCAAGTCATCTGGGGCTAAACAACAAGGGTGTGTTACAAAGAGGAGAATTCAGACCTTCAGAAACAAGCTGTTCAAAAGGGGAATGGGATAGCCTCCAAGGAGGTCTTTAAAGTGAGGATGGACTGCCCCTGCCCAGGTGTATGAGAGTGAGAAGCCCTTTCTTGGACAGCTGGTCAAGGCAGCTGCAGAGGCCCATCTAACTCTCACGTCTGTGATTCCCTATTTAACAGGATCAGGATTCCCTTTCAGAAAGGGCAGAAACACAGAGCCTTTCCATATAAAGCAATGAAAGCAGGCAGTAAGAAGACAAGATTCAAGAAATCAAAATTTTAAAAAATTATTCAAATGCATATGAAAAAACTTCTATGTAAAATCTACACAAACACATACCGAAGTATGTAAAGGACATGAGTATACTGCTAGGCCACTACTGGGAACTTACGGCTGGAAACTGGCTCCACCAATGCAAGTGTCCACCCACATATGCCTTACTCAGGAAGTCCTGGAAAGATGTGAGATCCCCCCCTCCCGCGAGCTGACTTGCCCGGGGTCACAGAGTTATTCACATCAGAGGCTGATGAATAACTTCCCAACTCCAAGCCCAATATGCGTCCACTACGCCTTGCTGCCCCTCCATACAAGTAATTACCTTTAAAAACACAGACAGCTGAAGGGGTGTTGTGAATGCCCCTTTCCAATCCATATAGTTGGTAGCTCCATAAATAAGAAAAACCCATTTTAATCTACTGCTAAAATCACAGCAAAGACCAACACTGTAGAGCACAGCTGTCAGACATGCACTGCCCAGCAGTGGGCCACACTCTCCAGTGAAAATATAACTGGGAAACAGTTATTAAAATAAATAAAAATACAACAGGACAGAGACAATAATGTTAAAATGTGGCTTTCTAAGTCAGTCAATGGCCACAGGGAACCTCATATACAATTCAGTGGCTCTCTGGTTCTCCTAAGTTTGTCAGCACTGCTCCAGAATCTCCAGCCCAGAGGGGCCTGATTATACCTCTTAGTTTAGCCTAGAGTAGTTCATATAGTATTTGGGACTCCCAAATAGAAAACTTTACAATTCTGTCCTATGATTTCACACGATACAATTAACAACAACAAAGAGTAAAGAAGCTGATATGAAAAGGTAATACAGATCAGAGAATTGAGAATACAAAATGTATTAATTTAATTTTCAAAATGCCCAATGGCATTATTTGGAGAAATTGTTTATGAAATTTATGATAATCAATATTAAAAGCAAAATATCCTATGTAATAACCTAATTATGTTATACCATAAAAGCAGCAGCCAAAGCATACCTTAGTGAATCATCAGCGCTGCATCTTATCAATCTACTAACTTAAGTAAATAGAAAAGTTTTAAACATTCTTAATATCTGAGACAGAATAATTTTATACAGCAGGTTATTATGAAGCTCACTGAATCACTGCTTGCATATTCGTCCTTTATAACTCATTACTGACTTTTAAAACTATTTATTCTCACACTTCAGAAAACAAAAAAATCTCTAGAAGACCATAAGTTGACTACATTTGAAGTATGACATTCTACTAGACCTAAGAAAAAGTAACCTAAAAAAATTAATTGTTAACTACATAACTAATCAAGGAATCATTTTGATCTAATCTAAACATCCAAATAATAAAGTGTAGTAAATGCAATAAAATAACAAGAATTCAATTGTCATTATTTGAGTAAGCCTATAAACATTCATGAAATACTATAAACATATCACCCATCAAAGTCATAATCCAATGCCTCAATGGTGGTATGAAGGCAACCCAAGGTTCTAGAACCCTGGGGTTCTAGAGAAACAAGTAAGAGTCTTACGCTGTCTGCAGATCAGCCTAGCTAACTGGGGAGGGGCCCACAGCTAGATCAGCAGGATGGCAATGAACTTTGTAACAGCAGGAACTCTCCAACAACACACATGAAATTACAGAATTTGTAAGGGCAAGACTGTACTTTCATTAACAAAACTATAGGTCCTTAAAGTAGACGACCCAAGATTCTTCCTTCCCAGAATGGCTTCCCTGCTATCCTGTCCCTGGAGCCTCCAACACGATTTCTCAGAGATGAGAAAGGACCCAAGATCAACGTCTTTGCTGTGATGAGCTGACCTCTCTGCCCTGCCTCCTCTCAGAAACAGAAAGGCCCCACGAGTGGCAGGGGAGCCAGGAGCATGTGCCACTCCCCTTCCCTGGCGACCCACCCCAATTCTGGGCTGTCACAGGAGCTGGACTCAGGGGCTTCTGAGGAGGGGGGAGTAATGGCAGTCCCAGCAGCCTCACTGTAGACTCCCCACTGAGCGGCCTCAGACGGTGGCACTGGCCAAAGGAAAGCTCTTCCAAGGTGGCACTTTACCATTTCTCATCTTCCTCCTCCCCTGTCTCAGGAGACAGAAAACTAAGACTAGTAAGAGCAACACTTCCACATTTATAACGCAGACTCTTCTTTATCTGACAGGACCTTACGCCGACTGAAAATCAATCCGTGCTAACAGTGACTGTGAAGAGCCTTCACTGTGATCCAATACTCACGCAGCTAATATCTGGGAAGAAAAAGAGAAGCAAACAGCAGCTCACCTCTTTCAGGGCTTTTAATAATCGAGGTCTCTTTTCTTCAACACTTTCCCTGGACTGCTGCTTAAGCTTCCTTAAAAGTGCTGTAACTAAATTTGAAGGAAAAAAAAGTTAATTAAAAAGTTCTCATTTATTTTCACTTGACTTTAAAAAAATTGCTGCCAACAGGAAATGCTGCCCTTCTGACATCACTGAACATAAGCACAAGTGGAGATTTCACAAACTCCGAAACACTAAGAAAGACTGCCAGAATTCATGACTGCTACCCCCCCCCCAAGTCACGAATCACCTCCTTTCAGGCCTCTCCCTAACCCAAGACCTCCTGGTTAATTTGCTGACAGCTGGGGAGCACCAACATCCTGTTGGAGAAGACAGGTAACCTGGGATCAATTTACTTAATCAACCTTAAGCTAAAGGACAGTCAGCTCCTCATTTATTACAGAAGGGTAATGTCCAATAACATAAAAAGAAAGAGGAAAAAAAATTGACAATCCAACCTCAAAGTAGCAATGTAATTAAAGCTGTAAAGAAAACAAAACAGGAACCTTCTGAATACCTCTCTAAGGGAATCTTCTCAATTCTAGAGATCTGGAAGCCACCTGCAGCATTGGGTCCTTTTCTCCAAATGCCAATAACTTCCCATATCTAAAACCTTCCACCGCAGGTATATGCCAAAGCAGAGAAGCTGGAGAATATCCAGATTGTCCAGGCCTTACGTTAACTTCATTTGTCCTCCTGGGCCACCATGATCACTGTTCACATCCACAAAGTTCTACTTTAGTCTTGGCCCATAGGCTCCCCAAGTTACCAAAAACCCCACCAGTGAGGTGGCAAAGATGAAAAGTCTAAAGAAGCTAACTAAAACAAGATGGGCTTACAAAGTTCTGTTTGAAACAGACTGAGCTTGAGTGCCTGTCTTGAGTGATGTCCAGATGGAGAAGTCCATCAGGTGGCCGGAGATAAAAAGAAGAGCTGGGTATGCAGAACAGGGGGCTTAAGAGCATAGACTAAATGATGAATCCGTAGGAACTGACAAGATCACCAACAGTGAGTAGAGAGCGATGAAGGGACAGAGCTCTTGGCACAAACGTGGTCAGGGGACACAAATGCATCTGGATGCTACCAAGGAGACTAAAAAGGATCCACAGACAGGCAGAAAGGGAGCCTGGAGAGAGCAGGAAGGAACAGGAATGGTGTCAAACACCCCACAGGCTCCAGGACAAGTAGATTTTCTCTAGCAAGGCCTCAGCAAGGCACAAGCAGTAGGAGACTCCAGGCCAGGCAAAGCACCTGGTTCGCTTGGCTCCCCTGCCTAACGTCAGGGTCAGGGCACTGAGAAGAGGGTAGAGGCAGGGGCCTGAGCACAGAAAGGAATAGGAGACAGGGATGGGCTAGAAGAGGTCTGGAGCACTAACTGGAGAATGGCTAAGCAACTGAACAGAGGAAAATGTACTCCATAAAAAAAAGGGGATAACGAGGAATTCAGAGAAACACAGAAATACGAGGACAAAATGACGCAGGGCGTAACGAGTAAGATCTAGAGAAGAGTTTACAAGATGACCCCACACTAACAATGTGAAGGGAAACAAGGCCAAAAGTCCTCAGAGCGCGGATCCAAGGTGTGGCCAATCATGACGATGAAACAGCTCCCCCCACCTCGTGGCAGAGAAGGGATGGATTCACAAGAGGGACAGAGGGACAGACAGGAGAAAACAAAATGAAAGGGGGGTAAGAGGGAGGAAGGAGAAAAGGAGGCAAAAGGTAGGCAGGCAGGAAAGAAAGCAACAAGCACTTAAAAAGTGCCTCCTATGTGCCAAGTACCATGCTAAGCACTTTGCAAACATGACCTCATATGATCCTCAAAATAACCCTGGGAAGTAGGTGTTATTTTTTATCTTTACTTTACAGATGAGGAAACTGAGGTAGAGAGCGGTGAAATGACTCACCCAGGGCCACCGAGCTACTAAGTGTCTGAAGCCAAATATGAAGATAGGTCTTCCTGACTCCTGACCAGGTGCTCTAGTCACTGCGCTGCCCAGCTGCCTCTGAGAATGAAACAGGCATTTCCAGACCTGGCCAATGGGAAGAGTTGTCATATCTATTAGAGAGGAGGGCTTCTATTGAGAGAGAGGCGGGTTAGTAGGCAGTGACAGACATGAAAAAAAGATCATCAATAACACATTTTTTGAAACGCACAGAAGAAAAAAAAAGTGCCCAAGAGGATACAAATGGAGCGATTTTGTTACTACCAGTTAAAAGTTTTATTTCTTGTTTAAAAAATTTATGTGAGAAGTTCAGCTTGTCACATAATACTCTCTGTATCTTGAGATGTCTGTATTTGTTGATGATTTCATGTTCACATCAAAGAAACGAAATTAAAAAAAAAAAAGAATCCACTGAGGAAGAGCGAGGACAAGGCTAGAAGCTAGGAAGCATCTGGCGGGGTGGGGCCTGCACATGCCCAAGACTCAGCCAAGAGGGCCACAGCCACATGTACAGTCAAGTCCCCAAAGATGAGAGCAGGAAAAGTAAAGAGGATGAGTAGCTGCCTGGCAGGGAGTCAGACCAGGTGACGACGATGGAGGGGGGCTGCTGGCAAAGGGACAGTCCAAGCAGGAGGCAAGGATGGAGAGGAAGCGAGGAGGACCCAGGACTGGGGCCCCTCATCAGGCACGCCGCACCTCCTGATGAAAGCCAGTCCAAAAGAGGAGCAGGTAAAGAATTCCAGGATGGAGGGAAGTCTGTTAACAATGGAGTTTATCAATATGCAGCAGCATGCGTGTAGACGCAATTCTAAGCACAATCCCACCATGAAATTGTAGCCAGACCAGAAACAATTGCAACTTCTTACTCATCTGTCTGTCTCCATAGCTGATGGCTTCTGCCAGAGGGCTCCATCCCTGAGCATTTTTCACCTTTACTGGAGCATTGTGGGCCAAAAGCAAATGGGCACATTCTGCAAAAGAGAAGGTAACAGACCATTTCCAATTATTTTCATATCACTAAAAAGGAAAAATCATTCAAGAAATCAAATAACCATAATCACATGATTGTTTGAAATAGTTAATAAATGGCATGCTAGTTAATATCCATTATGAAAAAGAGTGAATTTCAAACCTGTCACTTAAAACCTCCCATGGAGCCACATTATAGAACTTAACCAATGATTGTCATCAGTGGGGGTGCTCAGCCTCCCTCAAAATCATCTACAATTTCTCACCCTTGTAATATGCTTCTCCACATACTACACTGTGGAGGGAGAGAGAGAGAGAGAGAGAGAGAGAGAGAGAGAGAGAGAGAGAGGCAGGCTCTGCCCATGCAGCAAAGGCCCTTCTCTGCATACAACACAAAATCTCCCCATGTTTACTCTGCTGTATCACTGCAATGTGACTGAACCCCTCCTTTCCATCCCTGCTACCATCAATGCTAATCACGGACTGGCTGCCACTAAAAGGGAGATAATCCAAAGAGCCCTGGACACACAAGTACTCGTTCTCCAGCTCTTTTAGCCTCTCCATGGAGGAGAGGAACCAGGAAGAGAAGGAGCCTTCCCTCGATCCCTGCCAAGGCCAATCCCAAGCACCAACCCAATACCACTAAATGAGCAGGTAAGTCGAAGAACCCCAGGAACAGCAGACCCCGCCAAGACCACCTACTCTGCTGTCAGCCTAATGCATGCAGCTACAGCCGAGGAAATGTGAACTAGCAACTTCTTAGGTGCTACAGCCAAGACCTCCTCTTTAGCGACCACAGCGAGTAAAGAGCCAGAAAAGAAAGTTATGACCACTCTGGCACTGTCAAACAGTTCCACATCGATATGATTAAAGGAAATGACACTGAAGAAGAGGCCTGCCCCACCTACTCCACCACTGCCCCCTAAGGGCCTTTTTTTCTGACTTGCAATTGAAATCTCCTCTCTGGCTTGTTTCCCTCATAGGATGGGAGCTCCGTGGCAGGAGGAGCCTTCCTGATTTTCTCTTTACATCCCTAGCATTGGACCCCAGTGCACAGCTGCACACAGAAAACACTTAATGGTGGCTTTATTCATTTACTGCTACAGATGATGGGAGTATGTCTTAATGGATTTCTAGCCTCTAAGTTGTCACTGGTAACAGAATACCAACTTCTTCCACCAGAAGCACTAATTTCTGTTGCCTTTGCTGCTTTCCATAATCATAATTCTTCTAAACCTTTGGTGCTCCATGATTTACAAGCATAACGATAACATCCAAATAATATTGTATCAGTTTTCTTTTTAATGGACTTACGTGCATCTATTACTTAAAGAAAACTCAGATTTGGAATTTCTTTCAAATCTATTGACCATATCCTATCAGGGAAACAAAATATTCCCTTACCATTCTTCCCAAGATGGCCACTTCACAATATTAGCTCTTTAAAGCTACTAAATGTTAACATACTTGTTTCCAGTGAACAAAATGTTAACCTTAGTAATCTTAAATAAATAATATACCAAAATATCTATCTCTGATCTACCACTGAAATAGGCAACTGGGACTCAGCAATGGCCTATGACTCTAGAAAAATGTTTAAAAAGGAAACACTAACTGGGGGGGGGCAATGAGGGGGGCCTATTGAGATAAGTGCCATTCAAGTATTTATTTAACAAGAAAAGATCATTAAAGTGCATCATTTAAATATTCTGCTTCGCCAAAATCATTCGGATACATCTAATCCCTATAATTCAAATGAAGATAAATACTGGAAGACGTATACTCCCCAGTGGGGGAGGGGGGCAGCAAGTCAAAATCTAACGACAATAAAGTGAGAGGCTTCACGGCACCAGAAATCGAGCACTGGACCTGAGGTCAGGAAGACCTAGGTCCCAATTCCACTTCAGACACTAACTAACAGGGTGGCCCTGGGAACATCACGCCCTCCAGTTTCCTCATCTGAAAAATGAAGGGGCTGGAGTCTATGAGAAGGTCTCTTCCAGACTCAAATCTACTAGAACAGATTCCTTCTCTCCACAGATCTCTTCTACGTGTAGTTGTCTACAGACAAACCAGGGAAAAGCAAAGGCCAACCTACCAACAAGCCGTTCATCATCCATTTACCACAAGAAGTGGACACTAGCTAGTCAGCGATGCCCCATACAATGAAGCACGCTAGCATGGTTTTTGAGGGGTACAAAGTTAATTCTTCCAACAACCCAAGAAGGCAGCCAGTGCAGGTATCAATGTCGTCATTTTACCCATTAAGAAATCAAGGTTTTGCGAAGCTCAAGACAAGACCAGAAAAAGCAAAGGCAAGGAAAAGAGAAAGATCAGAGGCAGAGATGAAGTCAGAGAGAAGCATCCAGACCAGAATCAAAGAAGATACAAGACTGAGCAAAGTGTGGGCCTGCAGGATGGGACATCGAGGCCAGCAGTCATCCGCTGGGCCACCATTTGTCCTTCAATAACACAACCCTGAAGGGTGAAGACAGGCCCAACTGAAGCCATAACATAACGAAAGTGTATCCAATAGAGATTCCAAACTCGCTCCGGGGAATGACAACGGGCAGCAGGAGAAATATTCTCAATATAATAACTGATTCTCAAGCTTTAGATCAATCAACAAGCACTAGTTAAACTCCAAGCTATATGCTGGCCACTGTGCTGCCAGGAAGCCAGAGCAAAAATGAAACAGTCCTGCCCTCAAGGAGCTTACATTCTATTAGGAGAGAAAACACAAAAATATACGAGGTTATATACTGAGAATACAAAACAGAGATGAGGGAGGGCACTAGCAGGCAGGGAGAGGACTTCATACAGAAGGTGATTTCTTAGCTGTGTCTTAAAGGAAATGAGGAATTCTGTGGATGGAAGGGAGGATGTAGTAAATTCTAAGTAGAAATTGGGGGGAGGGGGTAGCCAGTGCCTTTATACAGTGCCTTAAAATCTGCAAAGCATTTTATAAATATCTTATTTCAATCATCACCACCCTTTAAGAAAGGTGTTATTATCCCCATTTTACAGACAAAGAAACTGAGGCACAGAGAGGTTAAGTGACTTACCCAGGGCCACACAGCTAGTAAGAGTTCAGTTGACTGAAGCCACACTGCAAAGGGTTGAAAAGTGAATGAGAGCCATAAGAAAAGTTACAAGGGTTCAGAGGCAAAAAAGATCCCATCTATTTAGAGGCAAGATTAGAAAAGGCTTCAAGGAAGAAATCATGTCAGATTCCCACAACCCCTCACTGAGAGGATCCCACTGTCTCTGATGCTGGCACAAACAAAAGGGAAAGCCTCCAAAGGTGTAGAAAAGGAGTAAAAGGATGACAGGCAAGGGAGAAGAAAAGGAAGAAAAAAAGAGGAGGCAGCCAGGAGAGCAGACAGCCCTGTCTACCAGTTTGGCACAGAACAAAAGTTTAAGGAGGCAGCAGAGTTGAGAAAAGATGTTTTTCTTTTAAGGATGGAGAGACTTGGGTATATTGCTGGGCAAACGAAGTGCGGAGGGCTGAAGAGCAGAGAGAAGGGAGACCCGACAGGCTCAACCGCTGGTAGAGAGGAGCTGGGATGAGGTGAAGGACATATGGATGGATCCCCGAAGGTTTTAGGTTTGATGGCAACTCTGAGTCTCAAGAAAATGGGAAGTTATTTCTATCATAATTAGTTTAAGAGGGGAAGGAAATGTTGCCTTTCTTTGGAGAGTATCTTAAACTGGGTTGTTTGCACTCTAAGAAATGATGAATGATAAATTAATAACGCATAATGAAGTAAGTAGATCTAGAATAACATATACAATTATTACAATAACATAAAGGAAAAACCCACTAAAATGAAGCTGGACCCTGAGTAGTTCTAAAGAGGACTTGTGGCCCAGGCTGGGGGATGAGGAAGCGAGCCTTGCTCTCCTAAGATCCAGGGGACTTTTGGGAGGGAATGCTGCACGTACCATCAGACACTGGCACTGTGCTGGCTGGTTTTGCTCCTGTAGGGATCACTGGAAAGGTAACAAAGTATAAACAGGGAAGTGACTGACAGAAAAAAAGCATCATTTTTTTAAGGGCAATTGGGGTTAAGTGACTTGCCCAGGGTCACACAGCTAGTAAGTGTCAAGTGTTTGGTCTGACGCCAGATTTGAACTCAAGTCCTCCTGACTTCAGGGCCGGTGCTCTATCCACTGCGCCACCTAGCTGCTCTTAAAAGTATCACTTTTTAAGGCAGGAAAATATTTGGTACATCTTAGAAAAACTTCCACTAAAAAAGTTCAAGTTCAGAAATCCAAACACTTATCTAGATAATTCTAAGCTACCTGGAAAACTGAGCGATACAGAACAACCGTTTCCTAAGACTCCTGGAGAGATGGAATTCTACAGTAGCTGGAAATATAAAAATTGATTAAAGCACTTTGCTTTCATGGATTTGTCAAAATAAAGACTAGGAATCTCGGTTTCTATAATTCATCTGTGACACAAAAAGCTCAGATACAAAGATCCAAAGACAGAAAGTCTACAGAGCGCTATTCACTGTATGTTCAACCTTAGGATCTCCTATTACTGTTAACAACTCCTTAATAATTAATCGAGTCATATCATTAAAAGCCTCATCATACCCGATCTGTTGCGAAGTCCTGTCAATTTTACCTACACCATCTCCCCCCTATACACCCCCTTCACTGCCACCACACGGGTAGAGACCACCTTCAGCACCTCATGAGTGGACTGTGGCAAGAGTCTACTGTTCAGGGCCCCTAAGTCTTTCCCCACAACAGTCCAACTTCCACTCCATGGTCAAATCAATCTTCTAAAGCAGAGACATGACCATGTCACCCTCTGCTTAATAAATTCCAGTGGTTCCTACTGCCTCCGAGATCAAATACAAAGCCCTTGTCACCGGCCTCCTCCTGCCCTTCCAGTCTGCTTCCATCTTATTCCCCACCATGCTCTTTGATCCAGTGACATGGGCCTCTCTGCTGTTCCCCACACAGGTGACTCCAGCTTCTGACCGGGCTTTTTCACCAGCCATCATCATGCCCGCAAGGCTCTCCTCTTGTCTTCTCTGCTTCGAGTCCCAACTAAAATCCCACCTCCAACAGGGGAGTCTTTCTACAACCTCCTTACCTCTAGCGCTTGCTCTCAGCTGATTTTCTCCAACTTATCCTGTCTTTACCTTGTATGCATTGCCCAGTTAAGTCATGAGCTACTTGAGGGGAAGGACTGTAGGAAATTCTGCCCTTCTTTGTGTCCCCAGAATCCATTTAGTACAATGCGGTGCACACCAGAGGTGCTTCATAAATGCCTGCTGCCTGACCTGGAGGTGATACTGAGTTCTTGAAGGCTTCTCCACAGAACCATAAGCTCTGGCAGGTTTTACCACCTACAAAGACTGATCAGAGTACAGGCCTGGAGACAGAATCAACTGAGACAGATGCTGAGAAAGGCTCCTCATCTGCTCCTCTGCACAGGGATTTCTCTTTAAACTACAGCAACTCTCAAGCATCAGCTTCCTAAATCTTTGAGGAGGTGCTATCTGTGCCAGTGAGGGTCAGTCACACCCATGAAATCACAGGTCACTGAAGTGCTGAAGCAATTCCAACCTCCTCATAGGTAGAAAGTATAACCAAGACCTAACTTAGTCCATCTATGGAGTTGTGATCTATCTTGGATAAACACATACCATACCTACTATGCATTCAAATTTCCAAAAAGGAAATATTAGAGTCTCCTGCAAAGGATAAGCCACAACACAATTACACTGGTATTCAAAGAGACAATTCTTAATTCTTAAACACAGAAAAAAAGTTGATTTTCCTATATATGAATCTTTAAGTAATAAAATTTTTAATAAAAACACTTTCAAAAGGTATCAGGAATTTCAATGTTTTATTCCATCCTGTGGCAAGGATATGGAAGCAAAAGAAAATTTATCTTTCCACATTTAAGACTGCCATCCCAAAGATCAATATGTATATTCTAAACCTGACAGAGCTTGCCAAAGGAAAGGTGTGAAAATCCTCCAGGTTTAGTAAGTAATAAAAACTGGTGACTTTAGCTTCATCCTACATGTTTTAAAAGACCAAATTTACGTTAAAATTAAGATTCTCCACAAACATGATGTTTTAAAAGGAAAAAAAAATTATATTTACTAACCTTTATTTCCTAACATCACAGCAAGATGTAAAGGAGTGTTTCCTAAAACAAAATTAAAAAAAAAATTAGATGGAATAAAAGAACACAAGACAATTCATTCAAATGCGGTTCCTTACTCTGCTAAGTCTGACACGAAACTAGGGATAACATCCTACAACCAAGATGAAATCTGTGTGATCCTGCAAAATCAGAATACGGTGATTTTGACCTGACACAAGAGCAGTCTCGATCCTAGATATGTTATAAACAAGTTGATCAACTTTGCATGGAAACCTCTTCTTTGCTACCTGGTTAAGAAGACAGAGCTAAAGCTCTATGTGACTGTCTATTTTTACCATGCACAGAAAGATGACTTTCGGATATCCACACTTTATCTCAAAAAAATGAATACCACACCACTTGTATTCGCTAAAAGCAAACTCCATCAGAAAGAACCTCCCAAACAATCAAGAAGAACATGCTGAAGCCCCAGTCACGAGCCTGATCCAAAACCAGACACCACCAAAGTCACTTTTAATTTACTTTAGGCCAAATGTTATGCTTACTCTCAAATGGGATGGGATGGGGGGGGGGCGCCCGCACCGCTGCAAATTAACTTCCAGCCCAGATGCTGAACTCCTCCAAAGCCAGACTCCTTCCAACAACTCCCGTCTCTCATTTGTTCACTCACTCAAACATGTAAAGGCTTAAGGGGTTCTGGGCGCTAAGTAAAACCACGGTAAGCCACAGGCCCTGCACCCAAAGACCAAAATTTAGTCTAGTTAAGGGATAAGCCAAAAATAAAGTCCTTACCCCGAGTCTCGCCAAGAAACTGTATTATCAAATGAACAAGTAAATTCAGTGAGGTCAGGAGGGGAAGGCTGGTGCTGACTCTGGGATAAGGAGGTTAAGGATATCATAAGTTAAGAGTCGACTCTCTCCTAAAGGGGAGGGGTGTGAAGTAAACACACTTCTCTGTATGTGGAATAAACAGGGCTTCTCTGCTGATTCTCTCTGGGGTCAGCCGTGTCTTTATCCCTCGTCTTTCACCCTGTAACCGGTGGTAACAAACTCTCCCCCAGCACTTTGACGCGCAGCTTTGCACGGCAGTGTTCCCGCGCTGAACGCTGTGTACTGCCATCACCTGTAACTGTATCCTTGCCAAACACCAAGCTCCTTGAGGACAGGTATGGTCTTTTAGCTAAGCCTTCAATCTCTTCTAGTTCTTCACCCCATATCCTGCAGACAGTGGCTACTTTTAAAATGTTTGCCATTTAAAAAAAAAAAAGGTATCCTCTTCCAGGGACAGAAGTGATAAACTGAAAGTACAGACTGAAGCATCCTTTTTTTTTTTAACTTTATTTTTCTTCGTTTACATGTGTATGCTTTCTTTTGCAATATGGGTAATATAGAAATGCATTGCATGACTTCACACAGTATCAATATATTCCCTGCCTTCTCAAGAGCTAGGGGGGAGAAGGAGGGAGAGAATTTGAAAAATTAAAATTTTTAAAAATCAATGTTTAAAAAAAGTTACATGTAATTGAGAGATACTTAAAATATTTTTTTAATGGAAAAAAAGAAGAAAAGAAAAAAGATGTGTTAGCCAGCTAGGTGGCTCAATGGACCTAGAGTCAGGAAGACCTGAACTCAGATCTGATCTCAGATACCTACTAGCAGTATGACTCTGGGCAAGTCATTTAACCTCTGCTTAAGTTGTTATTGTGAGGATCAAATGAGCTCATTGTAAAGCACTTTGCACAGTGCCTGGCACATAGCAGGCACTTCAGAAATGTTGCTAGCGATGATGATGATGACAAAAGTAACTACAAACAATGAAGATTCAAACCCACTGGGCTGCGGCAAAAACAAGTACTCTGTTACACTGCTGGCAGGGAAGGCAATATGGCGTCCTGAAATAAGTAGTACAAAAGTGACCAAAACCTTTTATACCAAATCCAGAATGGAATCCTAAGGACATTACAGAAGCAGGGTAGGAAGGGGGAGAGAACATGCATTTCTACCAAGATATTCATTAACAGCATTATTCTTTTTTTTGTTTGTTTCTTTTTGCTAGGTAATGGGTTAAATGACTTGCCCAGAGTCACACAGCTAGTAAGTGTTACGTGTCTGAGGCCAAATTTGAACTCAGGTCCTCCTGAATCCGGGGTCAGTGCTGCCCCTAACAGCATTATTCTTAATAGGAAACATGTCTACTATTGTGTAGAACACTTGGAAACTGACTCAATAAATTCTGTTATGTAAATGTAATGGCATAAGAAATAACAAATACAAAGAATTAGGAGGAAGAGGGGAAGACACAGGAAGTGCTCCAGACTATCGGAAAAAGCAGAATCAGAATACACATGACAACTATATGAGTAAGTAAAATTGCTTCCAAATCCAGAGAAACTCCCAGAATTACAAACTCACAAGGTCAATGAGGAACAAAAAGAACGCTGGTCATTGGTTCACTGAAGTGTTCAATTTTCGTGGTTTAGTCGTTCCAGTTGTGTCCAGCCCATTTGGGGTTTTCTTGGCAAAGATACTGGAGTGGCTTGCCATTTCTTTCTCTAGCTCATTTTACAGATAAGGAAACTGAGGCAAACAGGGTTAAGTGACTTGCTCAGGGTCACACAGCTTCTAAGCGTTGAGGCCAAATTTGAACTCAGCTCTTCCTGACTCCAGGCCCTGTGTTCTATCCACTGTCCCACCTACCTAAATAATATATAAACAATTTTGTAAGATCAATTTTCATTCTTGTTTCTCTACCTGAAAATCACTAACTTTAGAACTTTTTAAAAATTAAATGTTGTTGAATGAATACAATGTTCCTATGTACCTTATAAAGGACTTTGTCAGCACATCAAATGTTCCCCTTAAATTCAAATAACATTCGAATTTTCCCTGCAGGAATGAGAGTTCAGAGAGGCAGTACAGCCTCATGGTTAGAGAAATGAGCCAACAGACGTGGGTTCAAATGTCACAGCAGACACAACAGCTGTGTCGCTGGTAAATCGCCCAAGCTTGAATTAGCTTGGTGGCAAAATGAAGGAGCGCTGAGCCTGGAGTCAGGCAGATCTTAGTATCAGATACTCACCAGCTGTGACCCTGTGACCCTGGGCAAGGTACTGACCCTCTCTTTGACTCAGTCTCCTCAAGTGTAAAGTAGGGATAATAGCACTTACCTCATAACGTGGTTGTGGGAATCTGATAAAACAGCACAGGTGAAGCCCACAGCAGGCCCTCTACACATGACAGCCATCAGTACTATTACCTCTTACCCCAATTTCCTCAGCTATAAAATAGGGATAAGAGTGCTGCTACTACACATATGAGAGAATTGAGTGTTTGGCAAACTTTAAACTTATATGTAAATGTTATTTACCATTATTCTTGTTTGAAAAGTGAGACTTTTGGGGGCAGAGCCAAGATGGCAGAGTAAAAGCAGTGACTTGCTTGAGCTCTCCCCCAAAACCCCTCTAAATACCTATAAAAAATGGCTCTAAACAAATTCTAAAGCAGCAGAACCCACAAAAAGACAGAGTGAAACAAATTTCCAGCCAAAGACAGGTTGGACGGTTAATCAGAAAGGCATATCATGCTGGGCAGGGAGAGGAACGCAGCTCAGCACGGGCGCACAGGAGGCAGCGAACCTGGAACAGGCCTCAGAGGACTGAATCACGGGCAGCTGTGGCAGTTTCCAAACTTCTCAACCCACAATCACCAGGTACAACTTACAAGGTCAGTGGGAAAAGTCTGTGTCTCCAGTGAGAGAGAGAAGCAAGGTAGTCTCAGCTCCAGCTCCCTAGCTCAGCTTCGGGGCAACCCCACCCACAGACAGAGGGGGAGTGGTTGATCAGAGGGGGATTGCAGGGATCTCTCTGCTGGTGCAGGATTCTCTTGCTTTGCTCATGCTTGGATCTGGGTCACAATTCTGGGTGGTGGTCCTGGGGCGAGGAGGAGCACTTGGTGTGGTGGAGCTTATAGTGGCGGTGCAGAGAAAATCCTCACAGTTCCAAGACAGAAAAGAGTGCTTGTGGTCACTCACAGACCAGAGTACAGGCCTGAAGAGGAGTAAACACCTCGTCCTTGATCCTAGCACCTTGGAAGAACTGAAAATTTACAGGTCCCTAGAAGTATCTCTGAAAACAGCTGCACAAAACCCTTGAAGCTTGGAACAATATATTCTCCACACTGGGAAAAAAAACTCCTACCTTAACAAAGAGTTTACAACATAAATAATTGTCTGGGATCATGAGCATGCAGTGCAAAAAGAGTCAGACCAAATTTGGAATCTTACTTTGGTGACAAAGAAGAACAAAACATATAACCAGAAGAAGACAACAAAGCCAAAGCTCCTACATCCAAAGCCTCCAAGAAAAACATGAACGGTCCCAGGCCATGGAAGAGCTCAAAAAGGATTTTGAGAAGCAAATAAGAGAAGTAGAGGAAAAACTGAGAGTGATGCTAAAGGAGACTCAAAAAATACTGAAGAAAATAACACCTTAAAAAATAGCCTAACCCAAATGGCAAAAGAGGTTCAAAAAGCCAATGAGCAGAAGAAATGCCCTAAAAAGCAAAACCGGCCAAATGGAAAAGAAAGTCCAAAAGCTTACTGAAGAAAATACTTTCTTAAAAATGAGAATGGAGAAATTAGAAGCTAGTGACAATTTGAGAAATAAAGGCACTGTAACACTAATCCATGGTGACAGGGAAGATTAAGACACAAACTCAAAACATGACAACCAAGTCAAAACAGCTACAAGCAAAGCCCAAAGAAAAATTTTTAAAAAGTGAATTGGACACAAGCCCAACAAAAATTCATGGAAGAGTTGAAGAAACAGATGTGTGATAGAGGAAAAAATGGGGGGGGGGAATTGCTCTAATTTAAGAGCAATGCAAGAAAAGTATGAAAAAAGAAATTAACAGCTTGGTAAAAGAAGCATTAAAAAATACTGGAAAAAAAAAACGCCTTAACCACCTTAAAAGCCAGAACTGGCTAAAGAGAAAAGTTCACCAAAAAACGTAATTCCTTAAAAATAAGAATTGGGCAAGTAGAA